TTTTGACCGCAAGAAAGGATTCAAGACGTTAACCGAAGTATGACCATCAATTTATTGATATCTTCTATCATCTTCCTATTTGTGCGTACTTAACTGGGAGTAAGTATTATGAGCTACCAAGTGTGTGGCCGGCCGCTTTTAAATCAGCGTATCTGTACAACGTGTGTTCATATTTTAAAAACAAAAATCACTAGATTCCAAGGAAACTATTGATTTACATTTTAAACAGTCAACAAAATATCTTGAGGACATCTGCACTTCTTCCAAGTGATAATTTGAAAAAAATCGAATATATGTGAAGTCCAGTCAGATGCCAGTCTGCAATGGGGCCGCATCACTATCTATTTCCCAATTTGCCCAGAAGTGGTTATAGGTCGCTACTACAAAACAATTGAAATCATAACAAGCTTATGTAATCTGAAAAATCGCGTTAAGCCTTAAGTAACCTTAGAACCTCAAATATGACTTTACTTACCTGTTGTAAGACAAACATAGTTGGATGATAATTTTTCATTATCCCCAGATATGATATCAACCGCGCGCTTTGCGTTTATTTAATACGAGATTTTTACGCAATTCGCCATAATATTTTGAAGTTATCATTGCCCGTAAGGCTTATGTCGCAGATATCCTTGACTTTAGGTGGCTGATTTATACCAAGTTGCTTATAGTGGTAATGACCGCAAATAAATCCTATCGATGAACAAACAACAACAGACGACAAAGATTTGTTAACAGAAAACAAAACCGTCTATCTATTTTCAGAAGTTCCCTGATATTCTGGTGTGCAAGGTACAATGCTAGTGAAAAAAAAAAACGTAAATTATTATAGCATCACATGGGAGCTAAACCGAACCCAATGCAAAAAAATTCAAAATTGTTTCACAGACGACTGAGTACTGAAGTATCAAATATAAAAAAGGTACAACCGAATTGATAATCTCTTCCTTTTTTGAAGTCTGCTGAAAAATCCTAGGGCTGATCTTTTTTTAAAGTCCACTTAAAAGGCTGTTACACTAAATCGTATGATTAAATTTCAACTATATAGTAAGATTAAATCACACTAAATAGTAAGATTAAATCTCAACCACATTATAATTATATGTAAACAACATTATGTTGTGGAATGGAAATCCATTCATCAATAATTTTGAATTTCTATGTACCTATTATCGAGTTTATTTTGTTAGTTGTCGCCCTCATAGAAGCACTTAAGAAGTCGGCTCCAATCAGCCTTCATTTGTTCACAAACGGAATGTCTATATGGATGATAACTTCGTTTGCAACGTTGTTGATAACGCATTATAACTACTAAAATAATAATACAAGCAGACTAAGAAATAGAGTTACTTAAAATTATATGTCAAGCTAAACAATCGATTGTCTTAACTTAAAGTGGACGGCTTTGCTTGTAAAAATTTGCATTCATAAAGGAAAAGGACTTGGGCAAAAATTTTTTTCTATTGATTTCTGTTAATATTTAATGTAATCATGTTTGTACAAAGTACTGCAGGTAAAAGTAAAACGCGAAAAAAAATATGAAAGGAAAACTTGTTTACTATTGTTTACTAGTCTTGATTTGAAAATTTTTTTCCGTCTCTATTTAGGGGCCCCTCTTATGTGGAGGCCCCGGGGCTGTTGCCCCGGTTGCCGTCCCCTAAATCCGGCCCTGGTTTTGTTTGATATTTTCTTTTATTTAACAATGATCTTGTTTTGGTTAATATAAACATTATTTTATTTCCATTCTGACGCGAACCTTTTTATGCACACTTTCCTGGAAGCCCATAATTTGCAACCGAGACGCATAAATCAATCGCCTGTCAATGCTTATTCCGCAACCGACAACTTGGACAACCTTGCAAACACAGCCTAATCGTAATGTATCCGACGCCACCAAATAAGGCCATTGGACACAGCCGAGGCTGCATGTAGACCGTGAGGTCGTTTTTGACACGTCGAAATCGACGCCTTCAAGGCATTGTCTCGTTCGACGTGAATTAACGAGCAACATTTGCTTGCAACTGGCAGACTATGGTTTAGTAATTTTCGCGGGTGTTTTATAAAACACGAGTACACCAGACTCGGAACAGCTAATTTGCACAATTTTTCTATTTGAGATCGAATCGACCATCCGTTCTGTCTAGGTAATTCGAGTTGAGTTTGTTATTGAAGTTATTGAAAGTTAATAGGTCTTCGATTGTCTTCATTGCTTACAATTGGTAGTCGATATTACGTAATAATAGAGCACAAGGAAAGCTCCTCGACGGAGTCAAATGGTATGAATTTAATAGTATAGATATTTTTTCTGATTGAATATAATGTTCGTGATATAAAAGAAGCAATAAGTATTGTGAGCTTACTTATTATAATGAGCCAAAAAACTAAATATGTAGATAACTAATTTGATGAATTCATGGCGCAGTTGCAAACGAATTGACAGGGGTCGTGGGTTCGATACTCACACAGGACAATATTTGTGTTACCCGCGGTGTTTGTGCAGGTGAAATTTATGTATGTAAAACGTCCTTACAACCATCCAAAAAAAAGGTGTAGATCGCCGCGCCATAGTCACAAATTTACATACAGTGTTCTTTTGCAGAATACTGGTTTTTACATGTAATGTTTAGTTATATTACTTAAATAGCCTACATACCTTAATCAAAATTGAGCTGTGGACTCCTCTACAGCTAAGACATGGTCCGTTACCTGGACAAATCATAACATAAGTCTCTTCAATTTTTGATCGTCATTTATATGAAAACAAATGTCGGTAAAAATCACGGAATACATATTTGAACTCATAATCTAACAACTATTAACGTTATATTCGGATTCGTAAACAAAATATTAAATTATTTAATAATAACGTTCTAATTAAGTTTTTCCGGCACTTGTTATATCCACGACACCGAATATTTTAAACAATAATAACATGATAATTTCTTGTATTTAAAGACAGATATATATAAAAATATGTATATAAATTATAGCCTATGACTTATTCTGATGTATAAGCTATATTATTGTAAAGTTTCATTAAAATCTATTCAGTAGTTTTTGCGTGAAAGAGTAACAAACATCCATCCATACATACAAACTTTTGCCTTTATAATATTAGTAAGGATGTAAGTGAATAAGACAGATGAGATAGAACGTATGATGTAGTAAGAGATAGCAGTCTATAGAATTACACCAATTGGGTTAATTTGAGCGCTTCAATTTCCGTGCGCTAGTGTCATATCTTCACTACATAGTATAAAACAAAGTCTTCCCGTTGTCTGTCTGTCCCTATGTATGCTTAGATCTTAAAAACTACGCAGCGGATCTTGATGCGTTTTTTTACTAGATAGAGTGATTCAAGAGGAAGGTCTATATGTATAATACGTTGCACCCGTGCGAAGCCGGGGCAAGTCGCTAGTTGTATAATATCATTGCTTCTTAACAATGAAGTACCACGAAATGGCGGTCCATCAAATCCATATTCTTCAACTACAACTAATTCCGTTAGTCGGGCGACTTATTTGATTCATCTTTCAGTTAGATGACAATTTTGTCAATTATCGAATAATTGTACTTAATGAAGAGGTGGTCTTTTAAAGAAGAGGGACCCTCCTCTTGTAATCGAATTATTTCTGACGTTGGAGCAAATGGAACGAAAATTTAACAAGTAAATTGAACAGGATTTATCGTGCCATAGACAATTATGATAGTTTTATCCGATTTCGTTAACGAATAAGGTTATTAACTGTGACGAACATGGTTAACGAGCGTTAGTTATAGTTAAATGTGACACTTTTTATATACGAAAAGTTTTAACAACCAAGTAATTTTATTTTATTGATAGTTAAAAGAAAATAATACGTTCTTTACTTGCTTAATAGCCTTCGTTAAAAAAGGATGAAAACTAAAAACTTTGTTAATGTTTTATACTTGCGAAAAAAATGGACGGAATAGGTATTTCCAAAGATTCCTCTTAGTTCTCATACTTTATAATTAACTTTCGAAAATCACTTAATTAGTAACAAAAGTCACAAATACATTGAAAGGTACGAAAATAGTTTCGCACTATTGTAAAGAGGATGAAAGACCTTTTATAAATATTTTACTGTAATTTTGTTTGCACTCTAATTAGCCAAATAAATAAGATTTTTTCATTATTATGAGTTAAAATTTTATGTTTCTCGCCGTTATAACAATGGAAACTAAACTTAAATTCAACAGTTAAATTCAATTCGTAATGTTTAAGGAGGGTCGTGAAATAGCCATGCACAGCAAAACGAGACTAGAGTTAACTATAGTTAAAAAACCGGCCAAGTACGAGTCGGACTCGCGCACGAATGATTAATGACTCCAGTATATACATAAAATTCTTCTTGACTAAAAAATATGTAAACCATAATTATATAGTTAGTTATTTTTAAATAAAAGTTTTTAATGATCCTATCGCGTGTACTATTTTTGATATGAAACGTTTCCAACACTTTACAAGAGTCCGATGGTCAAGAGATGACAACATACATATATTAGCGCTCGCGTAAACACAAGAAATTATAGTAAACTAAATTAGTATTTTTTGCGTATTATTGAAGTTTCTCAACTAATTTCGTAAGAAACAGTTACCTACACTGATCGCAATATAGTAGAGATACAAAGTTAAATATTCCATCGCTATTTGTATTCTTTCTACGATTAATTTTAACGGATTATATTTAAATTGAATTTCAGTTTTACTGGATTAGACAATTGTCACAAATTTACCCAATAAATTACCGGGTACTAACCTAAGAAAAAAAAATCAAATACATAAGTTGAACATCACAGAGCATACACAAGAAACTTGAACACATTTCTTTTTTTTTGTACTCGAACGCATTTAAGAATTTCTCCCCGTGCTTTTCCCCGGCCGCGTTCCATTTTTGATTTGCTATTTTATATTTTTTTTACTGTTTCCTTTTTTTTCTGTTTTGTTTTTTTTTCGTAACCCCGCCGCCCTCCCGTAGAGCTCCAGTACGGCGGGCTCCTCGACGGCTGCGGCGGGGAGCTGCCGTCGCTGAGCGCGTGCGCCCCTCACCCGCAGCACGCGGACAAGGCGCGCCGGCAGCAGAGGGACGCCCGCGCCCACGAGGAGGGGGGGGGCCAAGTTAATATCCACCTGCAGGGTATTTTTGTTTTCTTTTTTTTTGTTCCCTTTTCGAATTTGTTCCTTTTTTATTTTTTTTTTATTTTCGCCCAGCGACGTACGCCGCGACTGCACACGATTAGGTCTTATAAACGCTATACACTTCAATGCAGTTTAAACGATTGTGGTATAGAACATACTATTGTAGAGTCACGCAGCCACATTAGCTGCTGAAGGAATTGGCCGGCTCATAGACCCCCAGGTCAAAGTATTTCCACTTCTGCGTTTCGATCGGTGGGTGAGGTACTGTAAAGTAATGTGAATGGGAGACGGGAATTCATTAACGTTAAAAGAAAGGTGTTTGCCGCCTTCTTTCGCAAAGAAATATTTTATCATTATACCTGTTACAAATGTTTCTAATTTGAAATTGCTCTAGGTGGACATATTTCATATTAGATACGTTTGGTTCACAAGTATTGATGATTTCTACGGTAGCCGTTTAACTGTCTACTTGTTATCTGCGTGTACTTTCGTCACGCTATTAACAAAAACAATAGCGTTGACGCCATTCGGGCATCCTCGACCGCATTCCTTGTTTATTTATGAAACTACTTATGCGGACAATAATTGATGTTTTCAATACTTTAACGCCAAGTTAAGTTAGCTCGTGAAAACACATTTTCGCAGGTTGTCGCCTAAAGCGCCAATTACTCTACCGATTTGAAACAGGAACGTCATATAAAATGCAAGAAGAGCGGCGTGAAATGAAAGCTTTTTTTTTGTATAACTGATGTCTTTAGACTATTAAAGCTTCATCCGACGCAGAACCGGTTGGCTATCCCAGCCAGAGCCCACGGGTTTGAGGCCTCAGTGGGCAGGGCCGTGCATGTAGATGAAATGTCATTTTCTTTTTATTTGAGTAAGTGGCTAACGAGCTGGCGGTTCACCTGATGTAAAGTGACATCCGCCGCCCATGGACATTTCCAACACTCGTAAGGCTGCAAATGCGTTGCCACTTTTAAATAAATTGACCCCGGCCACCTCACTCACCAGACGAAACGCAGAAGTGTAACACATCTACTTTACGCCGGTGTTCTGTGAGGTTCTTGCAACAGTGTTGCGTGGCCCTACCACCGCAGAATGCTTTTCCGTTTCGTCTGGTGAGTGAGGCAACCGGGGCCTACTTATTTTAAAGGTGGTCGATGCATCCACAGGCCCTTCGAGTGGTGTAGATATCGATGGGTGGTGGTATCCACTTAACATCAAGTGGGCCTGCTTGCTTGACAACTTTTAACATATAAAAAGCCAAACGCCACCGTAGTCAAATATTCGAGCGATGACATCATTCGACGTAAGGAAGGAAGCATGATGCATATAAAAAAATCCAAAGATTTTTAGTCTGCAAATCCGGATATTTGGGTACACTCTTACTTAGGACATTACTTCGGTACTGCTAAACCGTCTGTGTTTCTTATACGGGGACCGTCTCAAAGAATAATCTCACGGTAAGGGGATTTTTTAACGAAAAACGTAAAGAAATATGAATGAGTTAAGCTCTCAACTATTGGACCGGACGACCCTTAACCCTTATTGTGTTAGTTGTCGGGGCAGATCTGACCATAATCGCTTAATTGCCTTGGAATGATTGTTGCCTGGTCACAAATGTGAATACTACGGTGACGTAACTGTGCGTGCGTGTGTGCGTGCTAATAACAGAAGCTTTGTCACGCAATACCTCAGTCGTGAAAATAATTAGCGTTGTACATCGACCTCGCTTGGGGATTACATAACGGCTTACATAACCCGTTCCCTGTTTACAATGCAATTATGGGTTAGATACACGCACCCTAAAAATGCAGATCTCGCTAAGTACATTGTACTTTAGCAAAAAAAAACAATCTGGTAGTGTTTTGACTCTTGTCATTGTTTGCATTGGACGGCCTACGATTTGTTGTAGACTGTCCAATGCATTTTGTACGCCACATTTGGAAACTTAATCAAGTATTAGTTAAATTAGGAGTTTTAGTCTTGAGGCCCTAGTCTCATGATAGTTGCTTCAATGCAGAGTCCCAATGCATAACAAAGGTGTTCCCGCACTTAGGGTTGCCATCGAATAATCAGTGCCGGATTAAGCAGGCGCGGGGCCGATAGCAAATTATTTCAAACAGCCCTTGATCTGCATCGGGGTCTTAAGTATAAAGTCTTCTTTATTTAATAAGTTATGCTCAGATAGAGATGAGTGGGTTTAAATATGCGAGCCCCATTTCGCGCGGGGCCCGTAGCAGTTGCTACTCTTGCTAAGTGGTTGATTCGGCATTGCGAATAATGATGATTCTGTCTCGGACACCACAGAAGGCAGGGCCATTGAATAAAAGAGAATATGTGTGAGATTGACCCCCTAATACCTCTTATGACTTAAGGAAACTGGTGAGACTGGCAGACTGAACTGTATACAGCGTGTCGTTACCATCGCGATAATAAATGAACACACGTCTAACGCTACGTGCCAATAATCATAAAAAAATATTAACGTTAAACAAAATCCATAATTAAAAAAAAATATTTTTCAAACAAACTAATTAAGTAAAAAAGAAACAAAATTTGTAACATCCTATACAACTCGCGCCACAGCGTCGTATTACAAGCCTCTCCTTCTAACAGTATGTTTTGTCTCTTTTAAATTCATTCAGCCCATTCATATGCTTCGTGACCTTTACAAATGAACTTTACGTTACGCTTTTATAAGTAAGGGTGTTCTAAAATTCTTTGTTTTGGAAAATTTATAACTCTGTAAATATTGATGTTTAAAGAATTTAAATGTTTAACAAAACTTTAAAATCTTATCCCCTATATGTGTGTTCATTTATTGTCGCGATGGTAACGACACGCTGTATAAATATGTGTGAGATTGAACTCATAATATCCCTATTGTTCCAGCACTATTCGCGGCAGTCGAACATGGCTATCTGGACAAGGCGCGCAACATCCTCGAATCTACTGATGTCGACGTCAACAGGTAAACCGCAATTATTTTCCACACGAGTTCGAACTGCAATTTTCCCCCAAACTCGAACCTTATTCTGATTATTTCTTCTAATTGCGCAAACTATATTGCATCACGCATATTGTTAAACGAATATGGCTTACGTAAACCACCAATAGTCAAAGATAATTTTTTTTTTATTAAATTCTCGATGTATACAAACATTAGAAACACCCATTTAGAGCGTGCTATATGTTAATGCAAGTAATGAGGCTTTTTTTTTTGGTCTGAACCTAAAATGTCTAGTTAAAATCAACAGTAATCGGGTAATATACTATTGTGGAGCAAAATTCATCTGCCAGCATCTTGGTCTCCATTTAATTATATCACATTGTAATTTGTGTAAAATTCTTAATATTCTGTCCGTTGGCTAATTGTCATGTTTCTTTCGTTATAACTTTTATAAAAGTAGAGTTTAAATTATTTCTTTTAACAGTGTTACAGCAAATAACACTAAGTAATTAATGATGCCATTCCATTATACATTTTTTGTTTTAACCTATCACAATTTAAAATAAAGTTGTTCACAAACTGCACTATAATATATATAGTATTGCACGCAATACTCTTTGTAATATATAGTATTACTCCAACAACTTCGCCTTTTACAACATACCTTATCTATAGAAGCTGTTATTGCTATGTGTAAAGGAAATAATAAAACAGCTGTATTTAAAAGACTTATTTAATGCCTGCTAACATTTAAGAAAAGAATAAAATTGAATCAAAACATCGATTTAAACTTGAAAGCGATGCAGCAAAATTTTCACTGTTGTTTGGAACGCCCTTGTTTAACCGCAGCGCTGCACCAAACACTTCCCAAGCTATTACAACTCTATCTCGAATGTGTTAAAACAACGCTCGCCTAAAATCCATATCGCCCCGCGTCAGCCGCGCATAATTTCGCGACAAAACACACTCCGTTTTGCAATATGAAATTCACGCTCGGGCACAATTATACGGTTGCCACAACATTTATATATAAATACTAGTGGCAACGTAAATAGTAAAACTTATGAATAAAAAAATATTATTATAAAAAAAATGTAGTGGGAGCGAATTGTGAATCTAACCATTCTCGAATCACCTCTTCTCAAATTCTGTCCAGCCGTTTATAAGGAATTCAGTCAGTTTTGCATTCTTACCGCTCCTAAAAATGTTGTATTCCCACCGCTCCTAAAAATGTTCTATTCTCGACACTCGTAAAAATGTTGCATTCTGTCCGCGCAATAATTACGAGTAACGCAGTCGATGGCCGCCGACGTCACGGGTCGCACACCGAACCTCGACGGCCCTTGGCAAACAACCCCCTCATTTTGTCAATACACGAACGTCCACATAAATGATTCCGCCATTTCTATGATCGTGGAACCGCAGTCATCAAAAGTATAGCCTTTTTGAATTAGTGTTATATCAATTACTGCCATAAATTATATTCATCGAACTATTACTGACTGTCGCCGAGTTTCTTTTTCAAACGATTTCAAAAAAGGAGGAGGCTTTCTTTTGTTTTATTTTTTATTTTTGGTGAAAATGATTTTTGCGTTGTGTTCGGTTTACATTGGTTACCTTCGGCTACGGAGATACATCAGAGAACTCCTAAATATAAAAACAATGTATAGTTAACATATTTGATGTCGGTTTTGTTTTTCCGTTCGTTTTCGCATTGCTCGGTGGCCGAGCTCGTAGCTCTCTGACGCCGAGAAATGCTCAGCTGTGAGAGTCTAAGTTGTGAGTGTACCTTCTAACACTGTGGCCGTTCCGCAGCGTCAACCCGGACGGCCTGTCGCCGCTGGACGTGGCGGTGCTGGCGAACAACAGACCACTCGCCAGGATGCTCATGGAGTTCGGCGCGAAGGAGGGCGCCCAATGTGAGTACCACGAATCCTAGTGTCTGTGTGCGTGCGATCCTGCTTCAGTGTGCGTAACCGTCAGTCAAATGTGATTGCCACGAATCCTAGTGTCTGTGTGCGTGCGATCCTGCTTCAGTGTGCGTAACCGTCAGTCAAATGTGAGTGCCACGAATCCTAGTGTCTGTGTGCGTGCGATCTTGCGTCAGTGTGCGTGATCGTCTGTCAATTACGTCGTTAACGAAAAGAGTGATTGAAATAATACAATCCTCGTTTGCGTGTGAGCGCGAGCGTGCGCCCGTGTGCGTGATTGCGGGCCAATTTCGTCGTTGAGCAAGTGTGAGTGATGATCCATTTGACATCTTGGAAGGATCCCATAGAAATGGATTTATTATTGGATTCACCAAGGTGGTCCCCGGTTACCTAGCCCATCAGACGCAATGAAAAGCTTGAAATAGCTTAAATAATAAGGTAGAAGACATTTCACCTACCCTGTTTGTAGTACTTCTCCAGCGTAGTCGTAGTAGTAGTAGCATCTTGCATTATCATCCTAATAGTTATAAGATAATTTCTTGTATTTACGTCATTACACTATTAATTTTACTGATTTATCGGGTTAATTTTTAATTATTATTTTATTAACTTATCTTAAAATATAGCCGGGTCGTATTCAAAGCTTCTTCAGCTTAAAACCTTCGTTTCGTACCGTCTTAAGTTCTAAGTTTGTTTTGTTATAGATTGTTAATAAATAATAATAATAATAAATTTATTTATTTCTATAGTAATAACAATACAGATCGTTTATACTTAATTATGGTAAGTTGCAATAAGAGAATATGGAGTACACTGTGACTTCTACACAAGGCAGTGCCTGTATCTTGGAAGCTAGAGTACGCTTCGTGTGAAACGTTAATTAACAAATGAAAAGAAAAAAAAAAGAAACAGACGGTTAGAAATAATTATTAATTCTGTTTAAAAAAATATAAATTACTCCTTTTACATCAAACACTTGTTTCCCATATATTCAAATACGATTAAATTTGTGGTTTGTTTTTTTTAAACATTTAGGATAACATTATCCTGTGTTGTAAGGACGTTTTACAAACATAAATTGCACGAGGACAAACACCCAGATGCGAAGCAACTATACTTTTGCGTTTAGTCTGCTGAGTGAGAGTACAGAGGGGTTGGCAACCCCTCAGGTGTTATCGATTTTGATGGGTGGCGGTAATCATTTAACTTCCGTTGAACTACCAGTTCGCTTTTACTAAGTTAATAGTAGCCGACACTATGCATATAATACGTTTAAAACAAAAAATTACATCGAACAGATCACAAATAAGTATTACCGAATTTTCAATATTATCACAAAAAAACATTTATTTATATCTCTTTAAATGTTTTGTTGTGATAATATTGAAAATGATAAAAAAATTAACCAGACATCAAATTAAAAAATAAGTAAAAACAAAAGCAGAAACAGGAATAATAATATCGAGATAAATGTAAACAAAAATTATCCTGGATACAAATTGACACAAGGTTTCATTGTATAGTAGATATAATTTATAACATTGCGAGTAACGTCTGGTGTAAAAAAAAAGTAATGTGTAGGTTCATGATAAAAAGTATACGGTCATATCTATATCACCGCCATTATTTCATAAAAACAACGATGCGTTATAAAAGGAGAGTAAAAATGGAGCGGATACGTGTGATTTAACCTTTTTAACGTACCATAGAAATGGGAGGGATTACAACCTTAAACACGCAACGCAATGGAGGTAGGCAACGGTGCTACGATATGGGGTCGCGTCTCTACGATTAAAGCTAAACGACACTGAAATTTCATTCGTAAAAAAAGTATGGCACGATATCAAAGCGTAGATTAATTAGCGAAGGATAAGCTAGCAAGGTCCGCTACATTTTATTTCGCTTTACTTTTAATAAACATTAGACCTCTGTACAAATATAAGATACAAGTCTTTTTATTTTTATCGTATTTTATACGATAGTGCTCTTTCGTGTAGATTACGTATTAAAAGATTATTTGAAAAAAATATATTTATAATGATGAACATATATGTAAACATAAAATCTGGTGTTTGCTGTTTTAGTTAAATAATACTTTTTGACTAGATCAACCATTGACTATTGCAGTCTAGAGCAATTGTATATGACCCATACGACAACTAGCCGTGATAGCTCAGTTGTTAATTGCAATTTTAAGTGCTGATTTATCACGTGCACCTGCATATTTTTAAAACTTAAAAAAGAAGTATTTAGAAGATATGTGAAGTCTACCAATCCGCAGTGGGGTAGCGTGGCGGACTATGCCCTAATGGTCTGTACAGACTAGGCCTTTGACCATATGTGGGACATATACATGCTGTTAATTTACTTAACGTACTAATTAAGAATTATTATGATATAACTATCAAGACATTGTCGTTTTACTTCTATATATTTTTGCTTCTAATATATAACTAAGAACTAATCAATAGAAACATTGATTATTATGTATGCTTATTTTATCATGATTTCTCCTCAGCAATCAATTGATGTTCCCTTTTATAAAATGTGTTTCATAACATCTCTATGCTTTAAAGACGATAAATTGATTTATAACATCAAAACTGACAGACACCTAAATCGTTATCGTCATCATTAAAAGCTTTTTAGCCAAGTCATTGCCTTTAACTAAAATCGATGATCGACTAAATGATCGATACTTCTCTTATATACGATACATGTACCTACTGCAGCAATTAGTAAAGCAAAAAAGTAAAGTATCAGCCTATACATGTCCAACTGCTGGGCAAAGGCCTCCTCGGTACAGAGGGTATTAGGGCATAGTCCACCACGCGGCCCCACTTCTGCAGCAATTGGTTACAGTTTATTTTAATGCAACCGTTACGCATTACAATCCCCAAACCCGTGGGTTCTGGCTAGCCACCGGTTCTGCGTCAGATGAAGCTTTAATAGTCTCGTAACTGAAAGCACAAACATCAGTTAATACAAGCATTCCAATCTTTTCTCATTTTAATCTTTCCCTTTCAATTCTTAATCCAGACAAGTGTAATTACCAAAGGGTATTCGATTTAGGTGTGCGTCTAGTCGATATAGACACTATGCTAATGTCGATAACTTATTTGTCATATATATTTTTTTACTTTTACTGATGTTGTTACTTTCACGCCAGTAAACACTGATCATCGTAGATGTCAACTAATCAGCTGTCAAATGGCTTTTCAAATGTTATTTTAGTTGCCATTTTAGTTTCAGTGTTTCAGAATCCGTGCCTCAGTCTTTAGTCCATTAGAAACGCAGTTCAAGGGCTGGCCAGAATTCACCAGCTTCAGTTTGTAATATATTTCGCAACACGGGCACAATGGAAGACGCGACTGATTTACTTTCCGTTTCTAATTTATTTCCATTCACAACTTTCATTCGCCATGCCGTTTCGATTTCCGCTTCGACGCTCCTCCCGCCGAAACGGAGTTTGTATTTTCACGTTGGCTACGAAAAAATTGGGCGGGATAAATAAATATGATTTTCCATTTTCGAAGCCGAATTTTATCGACCTTCACGCGAGTCTAATTTGAAAAGTTCGACGTCCATTAATAAAGCGTCTCGTCGGTCAGTTCGAATGCCTTGTTTTGTTTTCATAAAAAAAATATACCTTTGTTGTAGGTGCATTTTGACAGCTGAAGACCTATTGACAGACGGACAGACAGGCAGACAGACAGACAGCGAAGTCTTAGTAATATGGTCCCGTTTTACTTTTTCGGTACGGAACCCTAAAAAAACATTTAAGTGGGGCTAACGTACAACAGACATAGATAATGGTAAGGAACCCTTCATCTGCAAGTCCGACTCTTTATATAAACTTACAATCATCATCATTTTACAGACTATAATATATAGTTAAATATAGTTTCATTAAATTCAACTGAAGTTATTATATATCATTACTTCTCTATATTTTACTTTCAAATACACTCATTTGATATCAAATTATTTTTTTTCATATCTGTAAATAGAATACTGTACGAATGTACAACAAATTAATACTCTAATGATATCGCAATTTCTAATGATTCCCTAAATACTCAACAACATTTTTATACCGTAAGACGAGCGTTATTTGCGAAAATTCAATGAGCGTCTGAAAATATTCGATAAACCTTAATTTGGCAGAAAGCCTCCATTCCGTGAAGAAATGTAAGCGCTCTGGAAAATATTTCGTATTATTCATTCATCTTTAAAGGAAGGTATTTTAAAAAAGGGCATATCGCATTGAAACCGGAAAATTGGCAAGCCGTTGAACAATAAACGGAGAAATTTCGGTTTAATGGCGATGTTCAATATTTTAGAAATATTTATTTTGAGAGTATTTTCGTCGCTAAAATAGTTTCTAGTCGTTTCTTTATAGACCTCGTTGCACGACATGAGTAATATTTAAGATACAAACAGAATTGGTCCTTAAGTCGGGCTAAAATAATTTATAAAGTTAATTTGTTGGATTGTTAGAATAGCGAGTTATTTTAAAATAAAATAAATCACTATAATCGTTCGTTAGTTTAAATTACTAATATTGATTGTTCGTATATGTGATCAAAGCTGAACGATGTCAAACTTATATGGGTCATAATTTTTCTTTTTATCTTCGGTGCAATATAACATTGTCACTCGGATCCATTCTTCCCGACTATTAGTTCTACGAGCCATTGCCGTAATTTCTCTTTAAAACTTTTATTTTCCTTTTGAAAAGCAAAGTAAGTAAAGAACGTTAACTTATTTGGTACCTTACGAACCTATATATAATTTTTATGTAAAATTTGACTTCATGATGAATTCATATGAACGTGCGAGCGTCTATATGAAATGAAACTGCTGCTAAAGCAAGATTTAAAAATAAATACTTATAAAATATTTTTTTTTTGTAGAAGGAAGGAACGAAAAGCTTTTCACCGCTACGGGAATCGAACCCACGTCTTCGGGATTCGCGTCCTGACCCTCCTGCCACTAAGCTAAATAGCTGATTGCCACACCGTTGAAATTCTCAATGTCCTTTATCACTTTGTTTTTAGCATTTGAAGCAATGCTTGGCCCATCCGTTGTTATATCCTTCCCAGCATACAAACAATTTCGATTATGGCTTAGTGGCTAAAGCGTCAGGCCGCGAATGCCGAAGACGTGGGTTCGATTCCCACAGCGGCGACAATCTTTTCGTAGAAATTTCTAAAAATAAAACTACGAGTAGTTGTTCATGAGCGGCGGTGATCACTTTCAACCAAGTGAGACTCCTGTCCGTTTGTCCCCTTATTCTATTAAATAAAATGCGATCGTGTCTTATAAACAGTAATAATACATAAAACTTTTTGAGTTTTATGTATTATTACTGTTTATAAGATTATAGATATTTATGTATTATACTTTAAACTTCGAGTTCATTCAAGTTAAGGGTCTGTTTTCATCGAGATTTTTTTAACAAATATAGGATTGGCGTAATGAGTAGTCCTTCCTCTTGCGCCAGAGGTTGTGAGTTCGAAACTTCGAACTCCACTACTGGAAAAATATTGTGTGAAGAACATAGTGTTTTTCGAGTGTCTGGGTGTACTTAACAGTGTGTTTAACAGTTGTACGCATAGTACAAGCTTTGCTTAGTTTGGGTCTAGAATAATGTGTCCTAGAATATTTATTTTATTATAAGAAGAGCTTCTCATATCTGTATGTAGCATAATTTGATCTCAAATTGGCTCATAAAATAGGCTTTTATGAAGCTTATATTAAGATGGAATTTTTTATGAGCTGCTATGATGATATAATTACAGTCGTCACCCATCTGTGTCGACAATAAATCAGTAATCAATTAAGAAATGATTAATAGCAACGAAGCAGATTCCGTTTGAAGCTAAAGCTATTTTATTTCTCGTCACCTTAAGAAACATAAAATTAATTTGGCGTAACTGCAATTGTAATTATAAAGAGGTTGAATTTTTTTTATTATACCGTCATCGCCTTTTCGTGCTTGGCAGTATTCCAAAATCGAATAGGACGATTCAATCACATACATACATTCAAACATACCAAGTAAAGGACTGCATGGATGGTGCCTACGGCTTACATGGCCATCTCGCCCTTGGATTACCCTTTCAAAGTTCGACAGACGTTTGCACAAACATTTGAGCAAACCACAAATATTGTTTCCAAGTCGGAGTAGGCTTTGTTATCCGATTTCACTCTTGTAACACTGATTGAATCTCTGGCGCAAGGCCGCACGTCGCTAAGCAAATTCCCAACTTATAACACTCGTCGATCGTCGTATTCTGCAGTGTTGTATTTGTATTTTGTGTTAAAGGGTTTAGTTAGTAAGTCGCAACGGCCAATACGACCTAAAAGGATCTATTGTAGTCTTCCCTTCGAAAACCTTATCCTGAGTAGTAAGAACATTTTACAAACATAAGTTTCACGTGCACAAATACCCAAATCAGAAAACAGTTATCTGTGGGTCACACAAATGGATGTCTCGTGAGGGAATCGAACTCAAGACCCTCGGCGCGGAAGCCAATAACCTTGGCAACTGCGCCAAGGAGTCATCTGTCTATATTGTTAGACGATACTTTAATCACGAATGACGGGATTAAATTCCCTGAATCTCAGATCGCTTTAATCTAATCGCCAATTGAGGCACTCGTGCTCGAGATAAATGGTATCGCCACTCGATAATGTACCGCAGGTTTCCTTATCCGTCACTTTATCGCAGGAAGCGCATTCGTTAAACTTGACACTGATTTGTTTTTTCCCCGGCACAGCCGGTCGAGAGCTACACTAACATAGTAAGGTGGTAATGCCTGTTTGTGCGTATTAGTTATCTCGCAAAGTTCGTGAATCTGGAAATGTTTCAAAGACGAGAAACAACACAAAACTTGGGTTTCAGTTATTTAAAAATTCATATAAACAAAAGTTGATTTTACGGCATTTAGTTCCTTCCGGTGTCGTCGAAAATCTTCGTCTTTGGTTACTATTATTATTTATTAGGGAAAAAGTTATAAGTTATGGTAAGTAAAAATGTCTTGTGTATTTCATGATAACATATTGTATATTAAGCAATTATTAATTATTCGCTACAACTTCGCTATTTATTCTGCTATTATTTATTCTTCTCTTCTCCTTTGACAATTTTATTTTAATTAAATAATATATGTCAATTTTATTATAATTGAAATCGAAATTTATTGATTTAAGTTGCAATTATCTAGTTAGAAGGTCGAAGCTTCCTTTTAAGTATAAATACCTGTGCTAGGACGTTTCGCTCTTCCACAACAGACTACAAACACATATTATTTAAAACTATAACATACATATATATACATATAATTCGAATACACAAATAACATCCCTGCTAGCGGCTTAGCGGCTAACTTAAAATAATACAGTCCACTATCCCCATGAAATGTTGATGCTACGTCGATTATCACCGCCATTATCATTTTAGCCAGAAACGGTCCGCATTTGAGAACCAGTCCCTGCAGATAGTGTAAGGCTAGGTATCTTCGAAATATTTTTGTTATTAATTCGAAAATATACAGGTTTCCTTACGATGTTTTCCGGCACCGCTGAGCACAAGCGAGCAAAATAAGCAATTTCATTTGTGCCGATACCGGGGATCAAACTCAGGTGGCTCGCGTAAATTGAATTAAAGGCGAGCGCACGAACCCTGAGCTATCACGGCTCGAAGTATTGTTATTAATCTAAGCAAACATCATAACACCCCACTATTCGTAGATCCAGTAATCAGAATTCGCGTTAATACCATTTTTGCCGAACTTGTAACTTTGTCCGTCTTTCCGTGCGAAGCGAGGTATATTTTATTTCTCTCCTACGCTAACTGAGGCGTCAGATTTACGCTATCCGTTGACGGCTAATTTACTGTTTGTATGTCGATAAACGTTGGCCTGTCTAATTGAATACGGAAACATATGCCGGTAAGTACTCTATCGTACCATGACCTACCTATTCGTTGCTAAAAATATAGCCACTTATTATGTTAACAAATGCATCTTATAGTGGCTACATTCTTCAGTTTTTAGTTTGCGAGTAGCCTATTTACGTCCGTTTAAATTAACAATGAATATCTTGCCCACTTATTGTGCTAGGGCCACTCGACACTCAACGCTATTCCACGAATGGACAGGTCTGTCCACGGCCTCATAGAAGACGGGCGTGAAGTAAATCTGTTACATTTCTGATGTAAAGACTGGTGAGTGAGGCAACCGGGCCCACTTTACTATAAGGTGGAAACGCATCTACAACCCTATAGGTGTCGCTGGTGTCCATGGGCGGAGGTGAACAGCCAGCACGCTCGCCACATTCTCATATAAAAAAATGTAACCTAAATAACCTCTGTTTAAAAAAAAAAAACAAAACACCATACCTACGGCGATACACATTACTCTGTATTTCATTAAAGTTTGGCAAACACAAATTAAACATATACAAAGAGTCATTAAAATACTCACCACGGTTGGGAATTGAATCCACAACACGTTGCTTCGCAACCCGTTGCTTGGAAGCTATCAATCATTCCATAGCTAATGTAGTTATAACTATACTTTAAAACATATCTCAAAAACAACTAGCCTTGCTCATGTATCATCGGCGTGCACATTGTTGCAGTCAAATCGCCAGAATCCCTCGGTGCCCATTTGAGGAGGCTGCTACGAGAAGCAGAGTCGCGCCTACATGAAGTCGCTGGATGCCCCCCGGAGAGGGTGTGCCGTGAAGATAACTGCACCAGGTAAGTGGCACGAACCATGATAGCCTGTTCTCAATTTACCTCCGGAGTGTAAAAAATTTGTATTAACTTTTTCACCGTCTAATTCCGATCTAAAGTAGATCGTGCCAACGTTAGTGCGACAATGCAGAAAAGAGAACGTCGCCAAATGTTCCTGCCTACTCTGTAAAGGTTTAGGATTTTTATCTGTGATAAAAACCTTTTGACCCTGAACCCCGAAGCAGCTTTTACTGCAAGTGCGAGTGCAAGCGAAGTACCACGCGTCACAGACGACCGGCGTTAAGGTATAATACTTTCGCATTTCCTACGGTGAGTGACGTAACCTGGGCTAGGTACCCTTTTTAATGGTTGACAAAGAATCTGCCATCCGTCAGGTATTCACTGGTATTCAGGTGGTTCACTTACACAGATGAATGGCCAGCTCGCTAGCCAACCTTTTCACATAGAAAGGTGCGATTAGGCGTGCTCGTATCCCATTCCTTATGAATTGCAGATCTCTGGCGGGCGGTCAAGGGGGCACCACCGGCTGCGCGGGGGGAACGGGCTCGGAGAAGGACAAACAGGCGCAGCATTGGGAGAGGCGGTTGCGGACTCTCAAGTAAGGGATTCAGTCTGTCGCTCTATTCGGTCAGTCAACTTAGCAATAATATGGAGAGTCGATGACCCTCGGATTTAAGGTGTTGATGCCACCCTTACACGGCTCTTAGACGACACGTGAGGTCGAAACGTGCATGGTTCAAAGGAAACTGTCTATTACTATTGGCAATGCTTCGCCTAGTAGCTGCGCCGTTCTGTTGCCAGACCCATAGCCTACGGTGATAGCTTCTACGAAGCAAGACACTCTCTACCGATTGGTCGTGATTGAACGTTCAAACGTGTCCAAACTTTTCAGGGTCAGCATCATCGATACACGCTGTTCAAAAATTACCTTCTATTTCCATTCATAAAGACAACACTATTGGGACTGTAGCAGAGCCCATTCTTTACATTATTTGCTGATGAAGAGCAGACAAAGCTTCGTACAATTTGTAAATTCGATGCCCCAGTCAATTGTATTTATATTTATGTGTATTTATTCTTTATGCACAAAAAGTGACACAACACAAAGGCGGACTTAATGCCCGAGGAGATAACTTCCAGTCAACCTTAGTGTGTAAGGGGATTCAAGTTGGATACCGATGCGGCCAAGATTCTTAGCCCCCCATCTTCCACCTGGAAGATCTAGTGTAGTCTTCCCTTCGCTAAGCTAAATAGCCTCCTCCAGACCTTGACGTAGTTGACGGTCAATGAGGGGATAAGATTCGGGACCGCTACCAAGAATCCGCTTACCAGCAGTGGCCGCGGGGAATTAATACCCAACCCCTGCCACACAAATGATAATCGTCGTAATCAAGGGCTCTATTGCCACAGGCGGCTGGTGAGCGGGTGGCAGCAGGCGAGGTTGCCCGCGCCCCCCGCACCCCCCGACCTCGAGGTCTGCGGCGCCCACGCGGTGGCAGTCGCCCTGCGGGAACCGCGCCCCCCTCACCCCTCCACCCAACCCATACACCCCTCTCACCCGGCGCAGCGAGACTCACCCATCGTCACAAAATACAAAGGTACAAAACACCAGTTGGCGAATCACGCATGATTTCAGTGAAGTATTGTGAACTGTTTGCTTTGTCGCATAGAGTATCACGAAGTAACAAGGAGTAGGAAAGCATAGGAATGTCGTTGTTCTGTTTCAATCAGAGCTTAAATAAAGTAAGTTTAAATTAAGACAGAAATAACAAATTTAAACCCTAATGGCATAGGCGAGGCAGTACACCTCGACGATCAACAGATTCTATAGCTATATTCAGTAACGGAGTCGATCGGAGAATAACTACAGTCTAGCAGAAGATCCCCATTAGAAGTACTTATAGCTTTTGCTTGCGCTTCGTCCAGTCCGTGAGGAAAAGAAAGGCCTAACCAAAAATGTTAATAGTTGATTACGCAAATGCAGTCAATGTGGTACATGGACACAAGCAGTGGAAACACATACATTAATGAGCCACTGATTCAACATTTTAATTTATATTTAATGCCAATTATGATCACTCTTCAACAAACTGTCACACAAAATTCATTGGTCACAAAACTCTACATAAATATCGCGCTGTAGTCGATTTATTCCATATTGGTCTTATTTATACCATATAGAAATTTTTTTTGGTTTAAATTTACTTTCTTTGTTTATCCATTAACTTCTATATATCTTGTATTATCTTTGTCATCGGAAGGTTGCTGGTTTCTCAGATTTTCCTTTTTTAAGTTTCCAGTACTTATACAAATTTTGTGCACGTATGTAGATGTTAGGTGTTGTTCAATAGAAGTATTGTAGACGACGAAATAAATAGATGAATGAACACTAATATTTGGACGACCCGATTTGCGATGTGGATAGTGAACCTGGCTCTTGCGGCAGAGGGTGAGGGTTCGATCCCCACTACTGGAAAAACATTGTGTGATGAACATAGTGTTTTTCTAGTGTCTGGGTGTTTATATATCTATAATATGTATTTTTTTACAAAAGGAAACTATGTTTAAGTTTTTTATCAGTCATCTTGTGCCATAGTACGAGCGTTGCTCAATTTGGGACTAGAGAGCGTTGCTCAAAATGTGCCATGTGAAATATTTAATTGATAACCAACCCCTTTCGTTCACGTATAAAAATGCCTTCTCATGTTAATTCCTGCTCTCTCATTTATGTCTATCTCTTTAGCAATAATTCTTGTCGCAATGCTTGTCTGTAAATCAGGTGGGATGGCAGTCAAGTGCTGGCCTGTTCTAAATAAAAAAAAAAACACTTTCCGAGCGAGAAGACCGTCTACAGTACTTCCTTTTACATTCATTTGTAATTTGCACTTTTTTACGTTTTTGGTGCATGTTCGAAAAGGTGTAACTAAAAAAAACTAAGGAAATAAATAAATAAATAAACCCCTTCCAGTGGAATGGTCCTCGCGGGCGGACTTCTCGAACGTGTGCGGGTCCCGCGAGGTGGCGGGAGGGGGGGGAGGGGTCAAAGTGCTCGCCGCCGGCCTCACACGGGGACGGCGCTACTTCTTCCGCGCGGCCGCCGGCAACCTCAAGGGATGGGGCCCCTTCACGGTCTCCGTACCGAGGAGCGTCGTGCCCAGCAGTGAGTGTCGTCGCTTCACGCTATTGCACGTACAGTCGCGCGCGGAAGTCATTAGGGTTCGCCGGTCCGCGAACAGTCACGCACAAAAGTCATAAGGGTTCGCTGTTACGCGAACGGACGCATGCAAAAGTCAGCAGTGTCCGCTGTTCCGTGAACAGTCACACGCAAAAGCCGCCGGTGTCCGCTGTTCCGCGAACAGTCAGGCGTAAAAATCGTTGGAGTTCGCTGTTCTACGAACAGTCACGTGCAACAGTCACCAGTGTTCGCTATTATACGAACAGTCACACGCAAAAGTCATTAGTGTTCGCAGTTACGCGAACAGACGCATGCAAAAGTCACCAGTGTCCGCTGTTACACGCAGACGTCTTTGGGGTTCGCTTATACGCAAACAGTCACTTGCAAAAGTCACTAGGGTCCACTGTTCCAAGAACAATCATGCGGCAAAGTCATTAATGTTCGCTTCCGAACGTACAATCTCATACAAAAATGGATACGTACGATAGCCCGACAATAGTATTCGTTAGTACTGGATATGTCACGTACAATATTTTTCAGATCTTGTTGAGATGCTCAACAATAAGTGCTATTGGTTGTCGATTTCCCAAAGTACATCCACTTGCAAAATTGCATACAGTACATTTCTCGAAAATAAGTTTCATTAGTATTCTTTATACAACTTATAGTTTTTTCCAGGAGTTACGTACACTTAACAGGTGTTCTTCGTTTTCAACTTGTCAAGTACAGACGTGTAAAGTCCACACACTGCATAAGTTGGCATTAGATGTCACTAGTATTCACCAGGTACAGTCATTTTCAGAAGTTATGTTTGCGTAATAGTAGTTGTTGCAATGTTATTTTATTGCTTATCTTTATATAGTATAAAACTAAATTGCTCCCGCTGTTTATATGGTTAGATCTTTTAAACTACGCAACGGATTTTAATGCAGTTTTCAGCAATAGATAGAGCGATTCAAGAGGAAGATTTACATGAAGGTATACAGGCATATTGTAATAGAGAAAAGCCGAGAAATTTAAAGATTTGTATTATGATGTAGTAACAAACATATTTTGTGCGTTTACATTGCTGGCTAAACCTTACGAGATAGATCAAATTAATGTACTACGGAATTTTACATTGTGTATTTTACTTTTGTAAAATTTCTCGCCATTTCTCGCCTTGTAAAAGGCTCTCGCGTTTGAGCGTAACCTCTAAAGAAAAAAAGTTTTCACTGTCTCATGAAGAACATCTGTAAATATCGTATATAAACATATCCCATAGAATAGAATAATCAAAATAATAATGTTTTAATAATCATTCTACAGTGCCTCACATTAGTATCTACATTACCCGTGTGAAGCCGGGGCGGGTTGCTAGTCCTATGTAAAGAACGTATGTTTCTATTATAAACATTCTACTCTATTTTATAAATAAAATTACACACAGGTTGCACATAAAATTAATTTTTTCCGAGCGTATATTTATTTATGTATTTTGTAAATTTTTGGCAAACTTTCATTACATTCGTCTAAACATGCGAGTGATATATTAGCAATAGATTACAGCTATTAGAGTTTTTTTAATTTTTAATTATTCATAAGTATGCATATCTAATACATTTTTAAAAAATGTCTATATTCTATTACATTAGTAAACTTTAGTCAAGCTTCAAAAACATGACAAAAAAACTTTTTACACTTATAATGTATCGCCTTTTAAGTACCTAGATATAAACCTCAATTGAATAAAAATTCTTAGAAAGTTGCACATAAAATTCGGAGGGAAATGACACTCGTAAAGAAATCAGTACAGAAAATCATTTGAGGAATTGACGCAAATCCATTTCCGCTTAAAGCGGACTTTATTATTGATTAAGATCTTAGACTGCCAGCGAAATTGATCGATTATCCATTCGATGTGTGAGGATCCATTCTTTATCGATAACGAACTATCGATAAGCGCTCATCGACTGGCCTACAATGATCGCGGGCGAGTGAAGTCACGCTATTGTTTTCGAAACGTCATAATATATAATTGGCGAGGACTTGGCGGGAAAGAGAAGGATCTAGACGAATTCGCGGGCTTATTTGCAGTCGACGTCATAAGTTTGTACCGTCGCATCGATTCCTTTCAAGGACTCGCCTAAAAGGCATCCTTAAATGAGGCAATTCGAGGTTTTTTAGGGATAAATTTATCCTCCGTCTACCAGGTGTTAAAAGTTCTTTGAAATGGGCAGAATTCAATTACAAACGCTCCGTTAGATTTAATTAGAGTTCGCGTCATGAGAAAACGTCTCAGTGGTCCCTTATTGGATCTGTCTACGATATTTCTAGTGGCAATATTTTAATTGTTTACAAAAATGGATGACGGTAAGTCGAAACGGTTTTCTTTTATTAAGCTTATATTATCTTTTAAATGTCTATTAAAATGTAATTTATTCAAATTCCAAGCCAAACTAGCTAAGCTGAAAATGTTCACAACGTCTCAGAATTTCGAAAATATTTTCAACAAAAGCTTAAGAAATTAAATGTATATTCTTAATTTGTGTAAATGTGTTTTTTATTTCTACGGGGAGTTATCACAATATTATCTAATTATCCAACTCCATTATTAATTATTTTAATTGTATTTACACGAAATAATAAGTTAGCTCTAAATGCTTAGTTTTATTTTTAATATTTTAAACGTGAATAAAAACAGTGACATCTTACAAAAAGTTTTTGCACAACTGTTCTGTCCTTGTAATTAAAATTCCATTAGATTACTGCAACTCTAACAGGAAAAGGAAGCACGCTATATGTTTCATAATCAAGATGATAAAGTAGCTAACCTAAATTTAAGTCCAAATACAATGGGTGACATTTAAGCTATTCACCTTTAGAGAACAAATCGACTATCCTCTCAACACGTTGGTGGTCAGCTTTTTGGGACTCCAAATAGATTACACATAGAAATATATCCAATAGGATTCTCGAATCCTAATCCTGTGCCCTATATCTCGATACAGCACTGTGTTTTACTGGATAAAGTAAAATCTCCGAGTCACGTGTCTTTACGTGTAGTATATACCCTGACGCCCGGTTTCTGAAACACTGATCATCGTAATAGTTCACTAATCAGCTGTCAAATGGCTTTTCAAATATTATTTAAGTTGCCAAAAGGATGGTTAAAATCTCTGAATTGATCAGAATGAAAAAATGATCAGAACCAAGAGAAACCTAAGACGCACGAGTATACAAGTCCGGCGGACTCCCTGGCGATGATATTACACGGCATAAGCCGAACATATTGTGTCCGATCCATTGATGACTGGCCAGTAGTCCATTTAAGCAAGTAATCAATATAATAGAATTCACGTACTATCTGAAATCACCACCAGCTATTACACTTTGAATTTCTTTGGTTACCTTCCTCCTTTTTATTATTCTGGACCTTACTGCCTTTCCTCTCTTTATCCACAATGTAGACTCTTGTTTGTATTCGGAATCATATCGACGAATCCAGGTTTCATCGACTCTTAAGATCTAGTTACAATGTTTGTCCAAATCACAGACACAATTCCAAAATATCTTTGGTACTGGCCCATCGTGGCTATTTGTCGAGCGGTGTGAGCCACTCACGTTACCCAATCTGCACTGATTTTTTTCTTACGCATTTGTTTGTGCGTTTCGCCGATTCGGTCTTCGATAATTTGTAGACCTTCTGCTATATTATTCAATTTAAATCTGCGATCGGCCGTTACTAGATTTTCGACCTTTTTATTTTTTGCATCACTACCGTCACTGGGCAGCCTGGGTGACAATTCTCTTCACAGATCTATCTTCCGTTTTTAAATAATCGAACCCATTGTTAACTATAGTTTATATAGCCCAGAAAGCCAAAGAACCGACGACAATTGTTCAGAACATATTTTTTTAAAATTTTTGTTAAATAAATTCTGAATTCCAGTTTCGTTCGATACGGTGATGTCTTTCGTTTCAGAGATTTAGTAGGAATGAAACAAATTTGAAAAAGGCGTGTTATTTATACTGCTAAAGTTGCTCAACTAGTGGTATCTCTGATGAGATCATGCGTCACCGATAACCAACTTTACTTATCAACCGTTCTCGTACTTCAACAAAATAAAAAATAAAACTAATTCTGAATAGCACGCGGGATCCAAACATCTCTCGGGTGACTTCAAAGCCTTTCATCTGAGATGAATCTAAAAACACCCAGAAATCCATCTAACCGTAAGCCATCATTGACCTCTTCGGGGCGGTCGAGTGAAAACTATTTATTTATAACGCGCACACAACGACTTTTAGAGGCTAATCCAACGCGATAGTGTTGCCAGGCATAATATATAAAAAAAAATTATGTTTACATCATGCGTTACCATGCATTCATGCGTTTTAATAAAGTGGGCACCGGCTGCCTGACTCACCAGACGAAAGAAGCGAGGTTCCGATTCTTACCCGGACGGACCTGCCCACTCGTGAGACAGCGACGTACGTTGCGTGGTCCTACCACAATCACAAAACATATCAGCCCAAAGGACCCCACAATCGATTCCACGTAACCAGTTAGACCGTTCGTCAGGTTGGCGCGACGTGTCCGGGAGGGGGGCCAGGGTGGCCAGGGGGCCGGGGGGAGGGGCGGCCGAGGCGCTGGAGGCTCTGGGCAGGGCGGCGGCGGGGGCGCGACTCCGCCCCCCCGCCCCGCCCCGCGCCCCCCGCAAGAAGACCGCCACCATACGCCAGCTGTTCACAGCCGCCAGCAAGTTCCAGAAGAACCTGCGCAGGTATACGCTTCAAACTGACGCTTCGACGACTCCGAGGCGCAGTGGGTGCCAGACTTACGCGCAGGGGGTCATGGCTTCGATCCCCACACGGAACAACCATTTGTGTGACCCACAGATAGTCGTAATGATAAATAGTAACAAAACTAAGAAGTTCCTACACAATGTTTAAAGTTAAAAGTATTCGTGTGCTTATGTACGCACATAATAAGTTATACTTCTTTAGCGTGAAGATAACGGTTTATTAATTAACGGTTAATAATCATCATCATCATCATCATTTCAACCAATTGTCCAGTGCTATACATTTATTTTAATAACTTGCTATTATTGCTAAATGTCAAATAGTTGTTATTGGTTGCGATGGTAATGCATTTCACGGTATTACCATGGCTACCAAGTATGATAGCAACTGACTTCATCATGTCGCTTTTTGAGTGTCGGTGTGCATCCTGAAAAATTTACTATCAATTTTTTTCCGACCGCGCCAAAAGAATAACTTCAAAGACAGTGTCCAGTTTAAGACTTTTTCCTTGATCTCGTAGAGTCCAAAACTCGAAGCTCTTTAAAGATTCATCCATTACAAATGACCTTTTCCCTTTAGGGGAGTGTACCTGGCGTGCGTGGTGTACCACGAGGACAAGGTGCTGGTCACCAGCGAGGACTTCCTGCCCGTTATCGAAGTGGACGAAACCTATCCAGCCTGCATCTACACAGACTTCCACTGGCTGATGAAGGTAACGCTAAATACTGTTGACCTCGATTGGATCACGTGACGTCCTCACTTGAATGAATGAATGAATGAATACACTTTTATTGTCCACCACAAATAAGAACATACATAAAAGTAACAATAGAACAACAAATTTATGCAATGTACAATTTGGCGGCCTTATCGCTTCATAGCGATCTGTTCCAGGCAACCAATGGCTTAAAGGAAACGTATACTACGTAGGTGGTGCAATATTCACTTGTATGAATGAATGGCTCGAATGAAGAGCGCAGTGTTCACAATTGGGCCAATGTAGAAGTGTATACAATTTTTGAGACATAACTTAAAACGTACTACTGCTGTAAAAACTTCTAGCGTGATAGGGCGACGCAACAGTCTTCGCTGTTGCACGAATGGGCAGGGCCATCCAGGTAACACTACCTCACAGAAGACCGGCGTGAAGTGGAAGTGTTATACCTTTGCGTTTCGTCTGGTGAGTGAGGTAGCACGGGCCCACTTTATTGAAGGGTGGCAACCCATCTGCAGCCCCACGACTGTTTCAAATGTCCACGGGCTGCGGTTATCAATTAACATCAGGTGAACTGCCTGCTCGCTTGCCATCTTCCCACATAAAAAAGAACTTCTGCCTGTAGGCTCCATGGAAGTCATGCCTTCATCATCATCATCATTTCAGCCTGTTTGAGTCCACGACTCACCTCGAGTAATGACTTATTATCAAATAAATACGCCACCTTTTTCGCTGCCACACTAAAATGAAGAATGGAATTTGATAAGAAATCACGATAATTTAGCTGGACCTTCCTATGGGCATGACTTTCATATGACCTTTAATCGTTATGAATAATGTACGAACCAGAAAATACTTTCCTCGCGCGTGACGTAAAATTTTATGTTGCAGGTATCTTGTGCATGGGACGACGTCAAGTCTCTCCGCTCCGACATGGAGAAGCACACATCTTCCTCCATACACTTCAGGCTGAAACTGCTCACGGCCGCCGCTCAGATGCAGTCCGCCCTCGGAATACAGGACCTGGGTAAATGTTTAAACTATATATCATTCCAGAACCTTCCGGACTCCAAATCTATATCGATCTCTTTTTTTATGTGAGAAGGTGCATTTAGCATCCACTCAGTACTTCAACTAATGGTGTCTCATCATCATCATCATCATCAAGCGGAACACGTCCACTGTTGAACAAAGGCCTCCCCTTAGAACGTCACTAAGCGACACTGCCATTTGTATCCACCGGGTGCACGCGAGTCTTACACGTCATCGGTCTCCCCAGTGGGAGGGCTGAGGTATCCAGTACAGCTTGAAATAAAGCATTTATTCATTTATTTGCTTATTTGCTTATAAATATAATATTGTATTGTGTTATAAATCATAATATTGTACCACATGTTATGTTAATTTTTATATAGCATGCAAAATATTACTGATATCAACTTTACTATTTATATAAAGTTTACAAAACACAGCTGCAGTCAATTCTAAATTAAATGTCACAATTTATAATAAAGAGTAGAAAAAATAAAATTAAAATTAATTAAAATAATGTCAGCGTGTATGTAATATAATCGAATAGTAATATTGTGGTGATATCACCTACAGTGGGTTTTTTTATGTGAGATGTTGACCTGAAGTGATAACCGCCGGTACGGTTGCGGATGCGTTGCCACCATTCAATAAAGTGGGCCCCTGCTGCCTCACGCACCAGACGAAACGCACTCAACGCCGATCTTCTGCGAGGTCGCGGTACTTACCCGGACGGACCTGCCCATTCGTGCAACAGAGAACACCGTTGCGTGGCCCTACCACAGTAGGGACCTACCTCAACGGGTGAACACTGTCTTTTTGTTGTTAACACAGTGATTTGAGTGGACTTCTTCTGTACAACACTCAGTAGACGAAATGCGAAAGTGCAGTACCGCAAACAAGGGCGGCGTGAAGTGGAACTGTACACTTTCGCGTTTCGTCCGCTGAGTGAGGTAGCCGAGTCCCACTTGTTAATGCTTGTCAACACTTCGGCAATTAAAAAAAATATTTAGACAGTAGATACGTATTCGGCCGTTGGGTAGGAGTTTTTAAAAGGCGATTTTGTCCTTTACAGTATTTAATAGCCAAGAAACACAAAGTATACTTGAAATTAACTTATTCTAAATGGAACCACCTGCCGCTACGGCGATTGAGCGAGATCAGTTAGTCGATACCGGTTTGATTGTCCCACGATACCTGAAGTTACACCGTCGGTGCTTTCACGGGAATACCGTACAATGCATCGCATAATTCATGTGAACTTTCGTAATCACTGGGCACTTCGCTGTAGGTCGATTTCGGTATGTGTGTACGGGGTACTTAGGTATATGTGAATATGCATAGGTAACACAGTTCACCGTTCTTGAATATCAAAGAGCAGTGAGCGTCTCCGCTCCTACTTGTAGAGTCGAATCGTCAACACTCGATGTCGATAACAATTGCACTTGATCTTGATTGTTATCGATTGAATAGCGTACTCTCAACAACTTGACGCGAACGCAATAATCTTTATTGAGAGCTTAACAAAAAGGACTTTCTGTAACGCAAAGATGAATATTAAACGAATCAGTTGCCCAGCTTAATCATACAGTGATGATTTCTTTAGTTTACGCGAATATTGCCAAATGTTAAATAAAACTATTTTTAATGACTTTACCGGTGGAGCCTGTACCGTTTCCATGGTACCTTGAACAGGCGAAAAAATCAATAAGATTAGTTTATTAGCAAACGTCATACTGAGGTCTTAATTGAGGAAATTAAAAAGCTTAAGTTTTACCTTTCCGATTGGACGAAGTACTAAATGTGACAAAGTCATAGTTAAAATGATATACTCCCAGAGGATACCATGATTCTTTTTTCTACGAGTAACGAATTGAGTTATTTAAGGGTGTTGAAAAGCGATAGGTTGCATATAGATATCGATAATGGGGACTTTCTAGAGATGATAACAATTTAGATTCTTTTCGTGTTTGGGAAAAATAACTTTATTATGCAGCCTGCATGGGAACGTAGCTTAGGGCTGTCAAAACTGACGCCCGCAGACTTGGCCCGGGGCCATTACCTGGCCAGTGACGCCCTCCGTTCGCCCCGTACTGTAAAGAGACGTAGGGTTGGAAACAAGAAGTCCGCATGGGGAAGTAGCTTAGAGCTGTCAAAATTGACGCACGCAGACGTGGCTCAGGGCTGTAATAAGCCAGTGACATGCTCCGTCCGGTCCACACTCTACGGAGGCGTGGCCTAGGGGTGTCAACAGGCAGCCCGTACGTGGACGTAGCGTAGGGCTGTCAAAAGTGACGCACGCAGACGTAGCCCAGGGATCTCCATAAGGCGAGTGACGCGCTCCGTTCGGCCCGCACTGTATGAAGGCATAGCCTGGCATAGGGGTGGCAATAGGCAGCCCTCATGGGGAAGTACCTTAGGGCTGTCAAAAGTGACGCATGCAGACGTGGCTTAGAGATGTCAATAGGCCATTGACGCGCTCCATCAAGTTCGTACTGTATCGACATATAGCTTAGGGGTGGCAACAGGCACGTCGTTGTAATGAGGCATGGCCCAGGGCTGGCAACGGGCAGCCCGTACGGGGACCCAGCGTAGGGCTGTCGAAAGTGACGCGCTCCGTCCGCCCGCAGGGCAGCTGTACCACAAGCCGCTGCGCGACGCGCACGGCACGGTGGTGATGTCGTGCGTGCGCGGCGTCCGCTCCGCTAAGGCGCTGTCCGCGCTCAACTCGCGCTGGGCGCCCGCCGCCCGCCTCCGCCGGCGCGTGCTCAGCGACGACAACACGATGGCCGAGCTGCTGATGGCCTCCGTTCACGACCAGGTCGCCTACCACCAGGTGGGCAACCCATCACTATAGGATACAGCGCTGGCGCAGTACTGAAATTTAGCTCTTAGTAACACGATAATAACATTTTTAACCGAAACTAATTTTACGGATTTATCGGTACATGGTCACGGGACAGTCTGTCCCGTGACCATGAACGCTGTAAAGGGTTCGAAACGTCGGGAATTAAAATTAAAAATAATAAAAACTACGCTAAATCCGTTTCATTTATAATGTGTAATCGCGTAAATACAAGAAATTATTTTTAACCGACTTCAATAAAGGAGAAAGTTTTAAATTCGACTGTATTTTCTTTATGTTTGTTATCTAAGAACTTTTAAATGTGTGAAACGATTTTGATGATTCTCTTTTTATTTGAAAGCTAACAAAAGAAAACTGTCACGTGTCTGTCGTAGGTGTACACAATTGTATGAAAAAGAAAAGAAAAGAAAAAAGAAATGACAGAATATCAAACTTAAGTATAAACCGCGCAAAACATAAATACGCCGCAAATGTTAAATCAAGGTGGCGCATACTGTCGACTGCAAAAATTAAAAAAAAAAGTAAAGAAACAGCCTATACATGTCTCACTGCTGGGCAAAGGCCTCCTCTATACAGAGGGTATCAGGGCATAGTCCACCACGCGGCCCCACTGCGGATTGGCGGACTTCACATATTTTCGAAATATATATATTTTTTTTGTTATTATTTCGAAAATATGCAGGTTTCCTCACGATGTTTTCCTTCACCGCAGAGCACGTGATAAGTCAGCACTTAAAGTTAAACACTTCATTGGTGCCGCGGCACCGGGGATCGAACTCAGGTTGCTCGAGTATATCGAATTAAAGGCGAGCGTTAGCGATAACACCTCACTATTCGTAGATCCAGTAAGCAGATTTCGAGTTCATACCATTTTTGCCGAATTTGTAACCTTTGTCCATCTTGCCGTGCGAAGCCAAGTATATTTTTATTCTGCAAAAATTACTCAAAAGAAAATCTTATGCTCACAATTTCCACGGTCGATGACGTGCCCGACGAACACACTGTCACAGTTGATGACGTCACCGACCGCCATTCCCACACCCAATGACGTCACCGACCGCCATTCCCCGGCAGGTGTCGCGCGTGCAGCTGCCCCGCGGTCTCTACCTCGGCTACCTGAAGCTGCAGTCGTCCGTCGAAGTAGTGCGCATCGTCGCTCCCGCTCGCACCCCCAACGTGCCCCCGCACACCAGAGTGAGAGAGAACCCACACGTCTCCGCGTAAGTCTATCCAGCACAAGTACGCTATGGCCGTAGGTATCTGATTAAGTTGGACTTTTTGCCTCTTGATTTATCATGAAATATATGATAGATAAATGTGACGTTTCAGATCGTATTGTACATTTTTTTTATAGTATTTCACTTGAAAATAGAGTAAAGTTAACTTATTGCCCAATTGTTATATTCGAAAAAGTTCTGTGCGGATACTTTTGAACTAGGGCAAACCCACCCTCATACCGTAGCAGAACCGACACATTCACGTAACCAGAAGCTGGTAGTCGTCGCCGCCACAGTGAAAATTTGCTATTCTTTGATCAGATTTACATTGTGTTTTTACGTCTAAATTATACAAAGTAAAAGCATCGACACTAAGTTCACGTCCTAACGTTTGTTGTATCAATCTAGAAGTATGACTATGTAAAATTTTGTTTGCTGCGAAAAAATTCATGTGCTCTAATGTAACATAGCACTTGATTACTGATTTCTATTAAGACCTTCGCTCTGTCGCTTACAGGGAGGAATGGGACTACCTGCTCAGTCAATCGGGCAGAGCATCGACGGAGGAACAGCAAACGATAAACAATATAAGCGCGTTGAACTCCGACGAGAAGCCGTCAGAATCTCAGGGAATGTTCCTCGACCAGATATCGAACGCCGCTCGGAGGCTCTTCAAGGAGATGGAAATACCCGTTGAGACGGTCGACGCCCACCGGATATACGACCTCGAGGTCATAGAGCTAAACAACGACGTCAGTTTCATAATGGTCTGCCCCCCTGCCGAACAGGCGTGCTCCGTACCCGGCCAGAAGGAGATACTGCTGCAGAAAGGCGACCTACTCAGCCTCCCGATCCAGGCGTTCGAGATGATCCACCTGCAAACGTACCACACGAGCATCCTGAACAAATACTCGAAGCTCAGCTGCGTGCTGGAGCTGGACGTGGCGCTGGCCGCCCACTCGCACCGGGAGGCGTTCTCTTGCACCGAACTTCAGACCGCGAAGGAGAGGCTCGCGAAGCTAGAGGACCTGCAGAACAACCTGAACATCGTGTGGAAAGGGGAGCGCTGGCTAATGGACCTCATTGGCTTCGCGAGGGACAAGGACAAAGCGGGCACCAGCTCGGGGGTGCTCCTGAAGCGCGTGCTCGAGAGCAACCCGTCGCCTCCGCGCGCCAGCCCGGAAGCGGAAGCGCCTGACTCGAACCTGAAAGTGGACCTGCTGCAGATACCGTCGAGGGACGGGAAGATCACCAAGGCGTCCCCCGGGAGGGGCTCGTGGCCGGGCCCCGCCGGGAACGGAGGCCACGCCCACCTGCACCCGGAGCTCAGCAAGTCTGAGCAGCAGCTGAGCCACGGGCCGCGCCACGCCGCCTCCACGCTCGACCTCAGCTCGCAGTACCTGAGCGCCGAGGCCAACCGCGCCAGGAAGGGCAGCGGCGACTCCCAGTTCACCCAGTCGAGCGCCGCCAGCAGCAACTGCTTGAGCGGCAACCCCCAGTTCGATCCCTCGGGCCACCGCCTCCCGCCGTCCAGGAGCGAGGACACGCTGGTGCTGAGCGACGCCGCCGAGCCGAAGCCGCGGCCGCACAGCGTGAACAACTCCTCGACGACGTCCAGCCCGCTGCTGGCGGGCAAAGGGTTCTACCCGGGAAGCATGGTCAGCGTGAGGGCCGCGAAGAACCCCTCCGAGTCCGCCCAAAGCCTGTCCAGCGACAGCGAGAGCCAGAGCTGCCTCTCCGCCCCGTTGAAGCCCCGCCCCTCGCCCAACCGCTCGCCCTGCAGCGTGACCGCCTCGAAGAGCATGACCAACGTCAAATCCGACGTCGACTACACCGACACCGGCCAGGAGCTGACGCAGAAGACGAGCCTGTGCATCAAACGGCAGCCGCTGCTGGAGAGACTCGAGGACTTCGAGTGCAGCAAAGTAGCCAAGACAGAAGAGTGCAGCGCGGGAGACGTGAAGCCCACGGAGCAGCGAACGCCCGACCACGCGGGAATACTCCAGGTGGGTTTTAAGTAGGATGACCAAGGTTTCGCTTAGTTGATACTTGCTAGTAAGTGAGCTTTAAGTGGGATGAGCGGGATTTATTCATACTGGGCGAATCTAGCAACGTTTCACTTCACCCTTTTTTTGAAAAGAGTATTTTCTTGGAAAGAGTATTCGAACAACACTATCCGGTTTTATAACTATGTTGTAAATAAATAGTTCAATCCTCTCAGGTTAGTTTTTGAGTTTTCTCGACACAAACATACAGAAGCTAAACTTTTATATAAATGCTAGAGGTTCTGGAACGTATCCAGGAGGTCCAAATCCCCGTAGCTACGAAGAAATTTTCTTCCATTTTTCGAATCTTAAAATTTCATCTTAAAGTGCAGAGAATGGCATCGTTTAAATGCTCATGTGTTTATTTCTTTTAGAATTATTGCGACGGTACTCTAGTTTTCGTGATCGAACATTGTCTAACGGCGGCGGCCGTTTCAGGTGTTCGCCGCCTACGAGACCGGCTTAGCGGCGGGGACGTCCCTCAAGCTGCACGTCACGCCGCGCACCACCGCGCGCGAGGTCATCGACCTCGTGGTGAAGCAGCTCAACATGGCGGCCGTGCTGAAAGGCAGGCCGGGGCCGGTGTACGGGCCGGAGCGGCTGCGCGACTTCTGCCTGGTGGCGGTGATAGGCGCGCGCGAGCGGTGCCTCCGCGACGACTTCCGCCCGCTGCAGCTGCAGAACCCCTGGCGCAGGGGCAGGCTGTACGTGCGGCTGAAGCACGACGTGCTGGCCGCGATACAGCACTCGGCCAAACAGCCCGCCTTCATATAGGGCGCGCGGTGGGCCGACGGCCGCTTGACAGTCGAGACGCGGGACGGCGCGAAATCTACACGGGGTCGACGACCACTTGACAGTCGAGATACGAGACCGCGCGAAACTTAAACGGGGTCGATGACCTCTTGACAGTCGAAGACGCGAGACTGTTTGACACGCGGAGGGTCATCGACCTGTTGACAGTCGAACGCGACCGTCCGTACGGTACGGTTCGCGCGTAACTTAAACGCACCGATAGAAGTCACTACTGATTTCGATGTGCGTAATCCATTTACAATAAATAATATCTATTAAATAAATCCTTATATAAACCCTGATATATCATGCAGTCGCATAGTATAAATGGTTTGTTGAAGGCGTATTTCCGAGAAACCACCAAAATAGAAAAGAAGAATATAATTATCGAATAAAATAATGTATATAAATACTGTCCGTTACTGTACAGAGTGTAGCGCAAGCAAAACAGAACGGGACACTATTTCATTGCATCCCTCCGATATCTTTAGATGAGTTGGATAAACTTCTAAGGCGCGCTTAGGTTTTGCGCAGCATATAAACTAGTTTATAAAACAGTTATCCTTTCGACCATATATGTCGTCAATGAAACTGCATATAAACGGTTCGATAAAGCAGTTTTCAATAAATTGACGTAGGCGTTAGACAACACGCTTGTGTGGTCAACCGCCGACGCATTCATGCTTATAATATCATTAATAATAAAACATTTCCTCCCATCCTTAGAAGAACGTCCAAAAACACGTTTACGGTTAAAATAACGCCAATGGATCTTTTTATTAATTTCGAATAGTTTTAATGGGCGACATTTATTGATTATTAGGTGGCGCTGAACGAAAATAGATTTTTATTTTGTGGTGCCAATTTTGATTATTTGTCGATGCTTTAAATATATATAAGTTGAAAGTTGTGAGTAACTTTAGAGGATGTTTGTAAAAATTTATGGTGCTTTTTTTTTCACTATAAACAGTACACTGCTTGTCCGACCGCGATTTAGTAAATGAAAACATGTGAATAGTTTTCGAGTTTAGAAAAATTACGGGATAAAACTTTAGATGTTTATAAAACAACAATATGCTATTTAGTTAATGTTAGGTAGGTAATTATGAGACATGAAAATCATAGACATCATACACGAATATGGAAGTTCTATGATAAAAAATTGTATTTTTTTTCCCATTTTTTTAATAAGAACGAAAGACTTAATTTATAATTTGAAATTTATAAAAAATGGAGAACATATGCGATGGGGAAGCTGATTGTAAAGCTTATATTTTTTTACCATAGATGAATTCTTTCATGTTCACAGTGCTTAAAATTACTTTGAAGTAGAAAGTTAATTAAGATGCTATTGTAAAATAATCTTTCATTCTTAAATAAAATTAATATGTAATTATGTGTCGAGAGAAGTGTTGAAAATAAAATCAATGTGTTTTAGGGCTCACAAATTACGACTAATTAAATCATTAAAGTATTAATCTGTGGTCTTATCAAATGAAACAATTAAATATTTTCATAATTTAAATTGACATAATTATGTTCATGGTTTATATTTTATGTTATAAATAAAAAAAAATTGTTTTCTAAAATAAAATATTTTTGTATAAGTACAATCACTAATTAGACAATAGAAAAATATTTTCTTTAAACTCCACCGTGGGTTTAAAAAAAGAACAAAGGTTTGTAAGATATTGCAAATATTTTTAAATTTAATGAATACTCTTATTACTATGAATCAAAATATTCAGTCTACACCATATTGTATGTTATATGAATTGTACAAACATCTGATAAATTATTATGTGTTAGGGTATATAAAAAAAACGAAATTTTGTCTATGATTCGAGCCATAATTAGGCTACATTGCTACTTATTTTATGTAATGAAGCCTAACTACATGTCTTATGATGATAATATAATGAAATTAGTAGATACTAAATTTAGAATATTTTAATATTATGCATGCACCCTTATTTTTGCGGTGTTATGTATTAGAAATTAGAATGAGTGGAAGTATGAAGTGATGCACAAATATAAATGTATTTCAATCCACACGCCGTTTTATTATTTACTTAATTTTATCCCTTAATGAGTGATTTACGAAAATATACTACAATGAAAAGTAGATGCACCGTATGTGTCCAACCATCATATCTCCATTCAAAATTTCATTCGAATCTGTTCCTCCGTTTTTTATTAAACATGTATTTCAATTTCATAAAAAATTTAAATGTTTCTATTTGCCAACTATTTTGACATTACTGTGAATGCCTTAAACTCTCTCTTCCCGAGGGAAGAATCTCCACCCGTAAACGTAGTGATTACATTCTCTTTGTCTCCACCAAGAGTATAACCGGAACAAATTATATGTTGATCCTTTTCAAACTTTTTACATTGGCATGGAGGAGAAACTCTCCTAAGTGTGTTAAACCCATCGACGAGACGGAAAAAGCTTACAATGCACGACGTTCTCTATTTATTCCCCTAGACGAGAAAATCTCATCGGGACCGGTGAATGTGGAGATTACTTGAGCGATTAGATTAATTTAACAGGCAGGTGCCGGCCTAACAGCAAACAAAGTAGACTACAAAAACCAAACTATTGTTGTAATCATTTTGTTTAACTTTTTGAAACTTCAATAATAAAGATAATATCCATATTTCTCAATGCCCTACTCCATAGTCAGCTTTCGAGTTAGTTTAAAAGTATTATATTTGTCAATATAATTTTGTCTATGGCTTAGCTTTGACAGTTTGACGTTGGCGTTACAAATGACTGTTGTGCTACTTATTAGTTATTATTATTACTAACTAGAATAATTGTCATTTATCAATTGGCCAAAGTTTATTTTTTTGAATTTAACCCGATAACGTACTGTGACAAAGTTTAACTTTCGGTATATGTAATAACTACATATATCAAAATGAGTTTAGTTGCGAACACTGGGTAAGTTATTAAATTAATGGGTTAACATACCGTACAGAGTTCAATAATTCTCTTATTATAATTTAACTAGGAAATTGGCTGGTCGTACCCTTTTTATTACGGGTGCGTCTCGGGGTATTGGGAAAGCGATCGCCTTGAAAGCAGCAAAAGATGGAGCAAACGTCGTTATTGCCGCCAAAACTGCTGAACCACATCCTAAATTGCCAGGCACTATATACACAGCCGCAGAAGAAAGTAAGATAATTAATTATTTTTATAAGTACTTGTAAACTTATATTAAAATTTGTATAAATTGTGAAAAACATGTACTACTTTTTTGAACATTTCTGTGGACTTTGAACTTTATACATATTAGGGTTTCGACCTTTGATGTTTTGCACGATGACATTGTTCAATATTATTATATCTAGTAAGATTTATATTAAATACCATGGTGATCATGCTCTAGTTTTACTAATTTAATTCAAAATATTCTTGGAAGTGTTTGATATTGATAGAGCTGATGATCAAAGAAAACAATCGTTACATTTTTTCAGTTGAAGCTCTTGGAGGAAAGGCATTACCATGTATTGTAGATGTAAGAGAGGAAAAACAAGTTCAGGCAGCTATTGATGAAGCTGTGAAAAAGGTAGAACATATATATATATCTAAACATATATAAGATAATTATTATTTAACCTTTATGTTACAAAATGTTTGTATATATGGAAAAAAATGTGTATTATTAAATAAAACTATTTAACATTTACTTTTAAACTCTAGACATTTCGAACAATTACAAACAATTCTCATACAAATCCGAGAATACATTGTAATAAATTTTTTAAAATTACTTACATTGCGTTTCCCATGCTACAAATCTTGGAACCTTATATGCCGTGAGACTTAATTTATGTCATTACTTACTCATTTATTTTAGTTCAATGGTATTGATATTCTCGTAAACAATGCATCAGCTATCTCACTGACAGGGACAGCACAGACTGACATGAAGAGATACGACCTCATGCACAATATCAATACAAGAGGAACATTTTTGGCGTAAGTCTTACTATTGTTCCTTTAACAAGTTAAAACATTTTTATTATACCTAATCTCTAATAATATAACATGTGCAACAGTATTTTTTGAATAATTTACAATTATCAATTGCTTCGTTCTTTTCCTACTTTGTCATCAAATTAAAATAAAATGGTAATAGCACTGGCGCAAATGCTGCCGTATAATCGTTGTTTGAAAAATCATTTCACATGTAATTTTTCAGGTCCAAACTATGCTTGCCGTTACTGAAGAACAGTGACCATGCTCACATCCTTAATCTATCACCACCACTGAATATGAGCCCTTACTGGTAAGCATACTTTACCTTATTACTTCTCTTCTTAAGTTTCTGTTGTTAAAGTACAAGTAATTTTTTCACAATTTCATTGCTTCATCGGCTAAATATATTAAAGCTTTGGTAATTTGCTGAGTTTATAAAATGAGCAGTCAAGCTGTAAACTAGGTAAGAGATGGAAATCAATAACTGTGCACTATGTAAGTCATAAAAGCTTTTATTTATATTTTCTTTCTATTTGTGAATATTTTGACTTTATATTTTTTCTGCTTTAATTAAATCTGAACAATTTAAATTGTTTTTTCTCAGGTTTTCAATTCATGTTGCATATACAATGGCTAAATATGGAATGTCCATGTGTGTTCTTGGCATGAGTGAAGAATTCAAACCTTTGAACATTGGAGTTAATGCTCTCTGGCCTAAAACTGGTATGTTTTATTTTCTTTTATTTATTAAAGTAAATTCTTTCTTGTGATGTCATAAATCCACTTTTGAAATAGTATACTTTAAAAGTTCTTCATGAGGTTTTGCTCTGATTTAAAAGTTCTGTCATTATTTTCTGACATTTCCTGATTGTAACTGTGGTAGGGCCACGCGTCAGCTTCTGCTGTAATAATTTTTTTGCTTAACAGATTGTAAGCTTAACTACTAGTACCCAGAGGACCGAGCTTTGCTTGGTTTTTTTGGTAAATCATGTATTTTAGTATAAGTTTATCTTACTTTAGATGAGTTTCTTACTATATAAGGACCATAATTTTCTACTTGTAATTTATATTTATTACAATCAAATGGTTAAACTTGTCTTCTACAGTAAAATTTTTAGAAAACTGTTCTACAGGCATTAATACCATAATAAGAATTTTGGAAGTAGTCATAAAATTTTAACAGATTAAACATTGGTTTTCAGCTATTGCAACGGCCGCCATAGAAATGTTAACAGGCGATACCTCCACCAGTCGTAAACCAGAAATTGTTTCAGACGCCGCTTATTTAATGCTATGCCAGTAAGTAGTACCCTAAATAATTTTATTATATTTAAAATTTTAAACATTGCATTGAAAGTTCTATAATTCAAAAGAAGTAGAGATGGCCTCTTACCATTACATGGACTGTTTTGCTTGCTTAGTTGCTGCCTCTCCAATAAAGAAAATAGAAATGTTAAGGGTATGTTTACGCTATCCCTAGATAATGGAAAAAATCCACTGCATGTGACTTTGTTTATGTAGAATACTAGAAGTTGAGGGAATGCAATGATTTTAATAGCTTGGGTGGCATTGCCTTCTCAGTTCTAAAGCTCTTTTTATCATTCCAAAGAGGTAACCACTAATAAAGCGGTTAGCCAACTGATTCTAAGTGACAAATATGCCCAATAGACACTCACAACGTCAAAGTGTGGGCTTCTTTAACTTTTAAAGGCCAAAACCATGACTTACGTCATTTTTCTTGTGCAGGGATCCAAAGAAGTACACTGGAAACTTCGCCATTGACGAAGACGTTCTAAAAGAGCATGGAATAAAAGACATGACACCATACGCATGTGATCCAAGTGAGTATATTTTTGAAAGTATTTGATTGATTTTATATTTTTCATGTTACAGATATGAAAACATAATAATAATAAAATAATACGGCGTATTCCATTACGGATCCATTCATGTATTAATGCGAGATTTAGTTCATTAACGAAATGGGTATGTGAGAGTAGTTGGTGCAACATTTTAAATGCAAATGATCATCATAGAGAACGCGGATAAACTACTCCTGGACGGATTCCTGGACGATCCGGCTGCAATCGGTCACCACCAGACTGTGACCACCGCTTCAATTAGACGTTACCATACAACCACTGTCAATCACGCAGAGAAGGTTGGTCATGTGCGGCAACTAATCACTTGTATTGCTTTAGTATTCGGCTCTTGCTGTATTCTGTGTTGCCAAAATGTAGGTAACACTAAGAGTAGAAAAATTACACAAGGAAAAAGTAATCTTCACATGACACACAATATCATTAACAACATACAAACAACAATTAGTAATTTTGTACGATATATATTGTACTAGCTGCTACCCGCGACTATGTATGCGTATAATAGGCTGTAGGCGTAACATTCAGACAGAAAGACAGATATACATAAAATATGTATATAAATTATAGCCTATGTCTTATTCTGATGTATAAGCTATATTATTGTAAAGTTTCATTAAAATCCATTCAGTAGTATTTGCGTGAAAGAGTAACAAACATCCATCCATACATACAAACTTTCGCGTTTATAATATTAGTAAGGATAATAGATTTCGAAATTTTGTAGAGTAACTTAATTTTTTTTCAATATTTGATTAAAAACTATTTTTAATCTGTCTCAGCAACACACTGTTGTATTATATTTATGATATTTTCTCCTTTTCATACATATTTTGAAATTTCATATTTAGATGATTATTAAAATAAAAATATAACATTGACATAAAATATAAAATTAAAATGTAACACATCAACTTTCAACTTAAAAAAAATATTTTGTTCAGTCATGGAAAGTGAAAAGTAGCATGGAAAGTTCCTTAACTTTGAACAGTAGTGAATAATATGAGTCAATATGTGTTAAAAACAGTATGTATATGTATAAATATGTAATAGAAGTAAAAGGTTTAAAAAACTGTCCTTAGATAGATTTACACCTTGGTGTCTCTAATAAGCCAGTGTAAATGATACAGCACCTTAAGGTGTATTAGCATAGACTATACAGTAATATGTGTCGCCCTATACAGTTGAAAGTCGGAAAAAAATCATTTTAATTCTGGTGTGGATTTAAGAAACGGAATTGTATGAGATTACAAATAAGCATGAATGCTTCTTGGGATTTGGTAACAGAACAAGATATTTTTAAAACTTTAATAATAATTAAATAATATGAGGTATTTTGTTCATGTAATCGTATACTCAATCATATAAGCTAAAACTTTTAAAAGAAAAAATATTTTAAAGTTAAAAGCTTCAAATCAAGACATATTTTTTAGATGAAAACTATTGCATAAAGTTAACACTGCATTGCTATAATACAAGAATTTTACATGCAGAATAAGTGGTCATAGATGATGTTTATATTTGCTTACATGAAATATTCAATTCTGAAATGATAAATAATTAAAACATAAATTAGGGAAATGCCTTAAAAATTTGAGATATAATAAATAAAAGAAAAATTTGAGACACTATCAAAATGTGTTTGTTTACAGGTAATATAGCGAATCTGTTGCCAGACTTCTTTCTGGATGTACCTGGGGATGTCAAGGAAGAAGTCAGAAAGGTGTGATAACAAAGCAACAATAAATTTTCTATCATTGACCACTTATTCCGTTAAAAGCTTTTATTTCAACTAACCCTTGTGAATGTCTTTTTATGTACACAAATTAATAATCATCTTAAGAAAGATGTCTGATTAAAATTTTAATTTTCTTGTGCATGATAGGTGATGGAACTTTGTATTTAACTTAATAATTTATGGCTTACATTGATCGTTGCAATAGGGTATGAACAATTCGAGGCTGAGTAACAATCAGATCCGCAATCTATTTGCTGGTAAAAAAAAACTAAACCACAGAAATATTTGTCTTTAAATATCATCAATAATTTAAACAATGACAAACTCAACTTATTTACTCATTTATAGTTTATAATATAATGCCCTATGAAAATAATAAGATGGTGCCGAAGTTTTTATATAATGAAACATGGTTACTTAAAAATTTGCAGATACAACTATAAACCTTGTATTACAATTTACTTAAAAGGATTGATTTTTATCAACTTTTTAGGTCAAAGCAGTTCTTTTAAAAGAATATTCAACAAGATTGAGATGTTTTTCTCCCTACTCACAACTTACCTAAATGAAGGCTACATTTTTCACATGAAAACATTTTGAAATTATGTAAAATCACGAATATTTTTTAGGCAATCAATTATTAAACATATTATGATCACACATCACAATTTTAACACAAGCCTGTTGCAGACTGAATCCGGAGGTCAGATACCACAATTGTTTACCACAATCAGCAAAGTAATCACACCTGAACTTGTGAAAAAAACTCAAGCTGTCTACCAGTTCAATGTTAAGGGTATGTTTACATTTTTTTCTGGTAATATGTTCTTTGTTATAATGTTGTCTTGCTTTGTTCCCTTAATATTAAATGAGTAAATCTGTTTTTGTAAATATCATGGTTTTTGTAACAATCTTTCCTTTTTTTTTATTAGGACAATAAATCGTTTACAGTAAAATAATTTGCTTTATTTATTTATCAACTAAAAATATATTGTGAATTATGTCCATGGAACTGTATGGAAAACTTTTATTATTCTTAGTAAGTCAAACTGTGGTGTAAATATAATGAACATCTTCAGCTTATGGTATCTGCTTTGCCGATATTAAGGCCAGTATATTAATCATTAACACATGATAAATATTATTTAACAGGCAAAGAGGAAGGAGTGTGGCACATAGATCTGAAGAATGGCGATGGAGCGTGTGGTCAGGGGGAGCCAAAGAATCCCCCAGATGCAACCTTGACTATGGACAGCACTAATTTCGCAGAAATGTTTGCTGGTGTGTACATATTTATTAAATATAAAACAAAGAACACATGAAATTGGCATTTTTTACAAGAGATTGTCTTTTAATTTCCTATTCCAATGATTTCTTAGAGCTAAATTGTAGGGACTAAATATTCGAAATTTGATAAAAGGTGTATGCAAATATATTTTTGAATTTGCAGGTAAATTGAAGCCAACAACTGCATTTATGATGGGCAAATTAAAAATTAATGGCGATCTGCAGAAAGCTATGAAGTTAGAGAAGATGATGAAATCATTGAAGACTAAAGTTTAGAATTAATGGTTATTTTTGTACCACAGGCTAAAAATATGTCTGTTTTTATAGATTTGCAGTATTTTTATACACAAAAGGCAAAAATCTAACTTTATAAAGGTATATTGAAAAGACTGTTATAGTCTAATTAAAGTTGAACAAGGTATAGAAACATAAATAATTTTTTTACTATTATCTTAACATACTTAAAACAAATGTGTTTTCAAAATATTGTTAATATTGTGAATGGTTGTATTTTATAAATTACATGTTTATAGCTTACAAATTATTCTTAAACAAAATAATTTATAATTCATCCTGTCTCTAAGACATAAATATTGATTATTACAAAAATGCAATACAGCCAGAGCCCTTGAAGTTTATTATCCGTTAATTTATTCTGGTAAAAATTGTATATAAAGTGTCTTTACAACAAAACTTCTTTTTTTTTTTTTCATACCACCGAAATTCATAGTTAAGTGTGTTGACTGAACTTTTTTATGCAAGTCCCAACATTAAACGAAGATTAAAAAAAATATTTGATAGTGAAAATTCCTTCCTTATTTGGTTGAGAATGATCATAAATTTAGCTACAAATATTAGTGAGAATAAAGAGGGAAATAATAATTAAAGATGGTTTTAAAAGGTAATAATGATACCTGAAAATGGTGTATAGGACGCACAGTAAACATTGTTTCTGACGCTAATATAGAATGAAATTATTGTTAGTAGCTAATAGATGTATTGCATCAGCAATATTCGTCACCAAGCCGTTTTACACAACAAATAATCTTAATCTAAATGTATTGTAACTGCACTGCTTAATTATTGTTTATAATTATTAATCAACCACGTACTAGAAAAATAACACATTATGTGCAGTCAACAACACAATTTTTCGTTTCCATTATGTTTATATAAAGCAATTCAATGACAAGGTGTAACGCAAATAATTATTTACTATTCTATTGGCAAATTTAATGCCCTACATTTTTGTAGTACAAGTACATTTAAAATTACATCAGTTTACTCCGCGATAACCTTGTTATCGCAATTGAATTCTCCCGCGTCGTATTTTACCAGCTTTTCATTTCATTTAGACCACTGTCAGTGTCAGTGATTGCGTCTGTCATTTGGTTGTCAGATGTTATTATTAACCGGTTGCAATATTTTCATTTGTTTTTATTTTTCTTTAGACATTTATAGTTAAAAAGTAATAAAATGTTCTCCATCGATGCTCCTGTTGAGATACAAAATTCTGAATTTTGCAATTACCGTTCACCATTGAGCACTCGATATGCTTCAAAGGAAATGCAATATAATTTTAGTGATCAAAAGAAATTCTCAACTTGGCGGAAGCTTTGGATATATCTGGCGAAGGCAGAGCAGGTAAGGCTATTACGATTTTAATCGGAATTCATGCTTGAGATGTTGTTTACAGATCTCAATAGTTTTTAGGTTATATTAAAGTTATGCATTGTTTCACACCTAAACAAACATAAAGTCACTGATGATTTTAGGTGGAATAAACTTAAAAATCAGTAATGAGATATCTAGCTAGCATGTACCAGAAAATATTATGATTAAGAAGTTTTTAAATAATAACTTTATTTAAGGCGTTTTTTAGTAACTACATGTTGAAATATGTCAATTTTTAATTTATGTTATAGTCTTTATCCGAAAGTGCATTTGTAGAAATGGAAATTGAATTATTTAATTTAACTTATTACTCCTCGAAAATTTTTAAGTTTTATTATTGCATTGGTTTCTCGGTTTTTTTAATAGTTTTACCCTGAATATTGGGTATGTAATTAGGCAATTTATAGTATAGCAAAAAATATCACTAGTTATGAAGAAAAAAATGTGTAAAACATAATAGTTGTATAATTAAATAGTACCTGGAGGACCGAGCTATGCTCGTGTTTTTTTTTTTTTTTTTTTGGTAAATCGTGTATTTTGGAAATTACATTTAGATACAAATTACTAAGTAATGAAATATGCATAATATGTTTCGATCTTACCGACGTAATAATAAGAAAATATGAACTGGTGTTTTTCACAAAAGAAAGAACTTTAAAAAAAAGGAACAAAATAACAAATCGACAAAAAATAAAAGATAAAGAAAGCAATGATCTGGAATCGAAAAAAAAGTAAAAAAAAAACGTGTGTTAATAAAAATAAAAAAAATAATGATGGTGATTGTGACCACGGCCTTCTGTTTCATGGCTGTTTGTTAGCGACCGCTCGTTTACCGACCGAGCTATTATAACATTTTTTTTTTCGGTGAATTTTACCGTCGTATTCGAATAATATTTTTAATTCCCTGAAAACTGGGATAAAACTACATTTTCTAAAAATGAAACCTAGTCAGATCGATTTTTCGCCCCCGAATCTACGCACATACTAAATTTCATGAAAATCGCTGGAGCCGTTTCCGAGATTCCAATTATATATATATATATATATATATATATATATATATACAAGAATTGCTCGTTTAAAGGATAAGAGATATGTACTTATATCATCTTTAAAATAAAACATGAATTAGGAGATTATAGAATAGAAATTAACAAAATAAAATATTAGCATCTGTTTATACCTACGGCTTAAAACTCAGTGTAACTGTCTGAAAATTTCTCTATATATGTTTTGAATTCTCATTAAAATTAGATCAGCCGTTGTGAAAATTAAACATGCCTTTTTTTGCCTCTGATCTCGTACACCAAGAACGAAAATTAATTTATAGCGAGAAACTTCGTGTACTAATAAAAATTATTAATTGCTTTAATAATGCGAAATTAAGTTTTCATTTCCTATGTTATAAATAAGTTTGACCGTTTGTAACTATTATAGCCTCACCTTCGCGAAGGCATCATCTTCCTCCCCACTTCACTTTGGTTCGCTCCGAAACAAACGTGCGTTTGTTTTTTTTTTTTTTTCACACCAAAAGTAATTTTGGTAAATGTAAATAACTTTAACTCCGGCGTAATTCAAATCAAATAAATTTTAAACGATAGAGAAAAATCTCTAATGAATTAATCAACAAGCAGAATTCGGCGGTCGCTTATAGTTTTCGAGAAAAAAATATTTAAAACTTGTTTTTTGTACTAAGAAATCCACCATTTTATTTGTTTGACTTCAAAAACTCAATACACAGTTCTGCCAACATGATAAATATAGGAAGCGGGCGACATCATACACGTATCGATATTCCGTTTTTTTTTTTTTATTCAATGCGTCACAGAACCGACACAGAGCGAATCCGACTCGGATAGATTAGGTTAGAACATACTGACAACAAAAAAATGGCGGATTTCTATAGTAAAAATCACACTATTTCATTATTTATTTTTTCGAAAACTATAAGCGACCGCCGAATTCTGCTTTTTGATAAATTCATAAGTGATTTTTCTCTATCGTTTAAAATTTATTTGATTTGAATTACGCCGGAGTTAAAGTTATTTACATTTACCAAAATTACTTTTGGTGTGAAAAAAAAAAAAACAAACGCACGTTTGTTTCGGAGCGAACCAAAGTGAAGTGGGGAGGAAGGTGATGCCTTCGCGATTCTTTGACGCCGATAAACTTTCGTATTCGTTCTTCGTAACTTTTCTGTTATGACCGCTGTGACAAACCAACCCGTGAGACAACCTTACCCGGTCTCCCCTACTTTGTAGAAATATGAGCACATTGAATATTAAAAGAAATCATCGGTCTATATTTGTTATACTCTAACTCTATATACTCCAATCAGGCAATCGGTAAAATAATTTGGGGCCAAGGGGCCTCCACTCCTTTATTGCCCCGAGACCTCCAGACCTCTAAATCCGGCCCTGCTTGAAGTAGAATCACCATTCGTTAGCGATTCGCCTGGTGAGTGAGATAAAAGGGAACCCATTCTTATAGTTTGGCACCGCATATGCAATCCGCCAGGTGTTGCACATGCGCCCCGCCCGCGACGGCAATTACTTAACATCGACCGCTCGCATACCAACTTGTCTGAAATAAAACAAGAGGCCATCACTACAGCAATAATCCGGTCAAGAAGAAGGCACAACTTTCATACATTTAATTGTTCCGATCTATTTCAAAAAGTAATAACAAATTTAAATAAATTTTTTATCTCGATGTTAATTGTTGTAATACTTTCGATCGATCGTCGTATTGACTACAGAAGTAAGAGTCTCGCATACCTTGTAAGGCCTATAAACCAAGTTAACATATTAATTAACTTAGTTGTCAACCATCCTCTGTATTGAAATAAGCACGCTTTTATTATGTCAATAGTCTCGCGTATCATCTTGGTGAGCAATCGACATTTTTTTTATTTATTTAAGAAGCTTTAAATAACTAGTTCTCCTGTCATAAGTTTTTGATCAGCAAGTTGTTTTGTTTATATGACATTTCTAAATAATTTAGAATTTACCCTACATGGTGCGTTAGTACTTAGAAATGGTTAGTGGAAAGACTTTCTGTTCCAACGCTAAGATAATTTAAAAAATGAATGAAACATCTGTGGAATTTTGTTTAATTATAATTTAATGGAATAAACACTTTATTATATACAAAACCCAATTATGTTCTATGTTTAATTATTGTCTATTATAAGTTAAAATATTATGAGGGTGCACATAGTTTTACATTTTTTAACGTTTATAATGACGCGGGTACCTTTTATTTATTTTTAATTGCACATAAAATAAGGTAACATTAGCGCCGGATTATGTTTTTTTTTTTAACTACTATAAATCTATTTTGCAGCACTTAAACTTAATCAAAAGAGCGTGTATATAAAATTAAAAATAATGCATACATGAATATTCTTCGTTGTATCTTATTTATATATGTAGATATATATTTTATATGGAATATGCTGCTGTTAACTTGTTACATTTTTTCGATACAATCTTCATTTGGTAACAGCAAATAGCATTTCAAATACTTATCTTATTTCTTATACTAAACAACATCAACGCCTTATTGTATAAAAACTTAATAATAAGCCCAATAAAATTAAAATATGCAATCTATGATAATAATGATGAGAAATATCCTATTAGTTTTAATTATTTAACCATCAAGAAATGTTATAAGGTAGTGGAAGCAAGCCTTATATTCTAACAGAAGGAAAAATAACACGCCAAAATAATTGCTAACAAGTAGTTCCGATTTCTTGAAATTTCATAGGTAATTTTATGCAATTGATCGGAAAGATCTTTTTAAATTAAAAAGTTAGTAAGCATATACAGTTAATAAGCACTAAAAAGATGTTTCGTTAATGTCAAAATGTTGGAAGTAAATAAAAAAAGTTAACTAAGTATTTTTATTCTATCGTTGGACGGATACTGATTACTGCTTTGGTTGTCCCTTTAAACACAATACACTTAAACTAAAATGTTAAATTATAATTACAATATAGCAGACAATAAGCAGTGATTCTAAATAAAATTTCCAAAATTATTTAATACTGAAAAGTCATTGGACAGATTAAAATATAAAACTATCTTAAAGCATCGTGGCTTATAATAAAAAGTTGCATATTTTTATTACGGTGGTCTATTTCGTTATTACGACAATACCACTAAATTCCATCATTCATCAAATACATGCTGACGGAATGTCTTAGTACAAAAAATACAAAGGCTACATATAACTAAAAAATCAAAGCAAGCATTTTTTGCATTTTCTTCCATTAACAAAACTATAAAAGTTTTTCAAAATACATTTTTAAATTACATTATGACGTACCTTTCCTAAATGTGAATATTTTTATTATTAAAAAAAAGGTTGCACTACCTCGGCCGAATTTTTTTTACCATACATTATGACATATTTTATTTAGCTGCTGCACTGGACAACTGATTGATTGTTACTACTATAAAAAAATATGTTCAGCTACGCAAGAGGACAACGAATTCTTAAAAGTACCTTAACTATTTATTTTTAACTTAAAATAACTTGAATACCTAACAACACTCGATAACTATTACTTTGGAGTAAATAAAAATGATATACATATGCGTAAATATCTAACGTAATAATATATTAAACTAAACTATATATTAAAGTAGCATACTTTAATAATATATTTTAGGTTATTTTAGTAGTCTGCTTCTTTCCTGAAGGTTAGGAAAGCGTGAACCAGGAATACTGCGGCGTTGATGACGGAGAAGACCCCAGATGAAATTAGTAGGTCGTATGCCTCTTTGTTCGGGCGGAGATTCGCGTAGTAGGATCTGTGCCAATCTGTAAATATATTTTGTTATAATCTGTATCAAAGTTATTTTCTTTTTTGTTTAAGTTTATATCAAACTACAAAGAACATTACAGTATAGTTCCATTAACTATAATAAAGAAGAAGTATTATGCGCAGGAAATACCGTTAAATAAAGCAATTAGGTTGATATCGGAAATTTGTTTAAAATGCACCAACGCAATTTTGCTAATTAAAATTCGAAGACGGAAAATCCTTAATCGTAGATGAATTAGAACCAACAATAATTATTAATTGCGAATTAATAATTATTGTTAGTTCTAATTCATAACTAGCTATGATGAGATATAATAACATAACTAGCTATGAATTTCCTTACAAAGTCCTATTCGAAAAAAAATTATGCATACATTTAAATTAAGCAACTGATTACAGTTATAATAGAAATCTACTGTTTATCTTTTATCATCTCCTGATATAATGTTAATATGAAACTGTTTATTAGTGTTATCCAATGAAATAAATGGATATCGAGTTAGCTGTAAAGGTTGTAAAAAAATAACGGTTATGGATTCTAGTTTAGTGCTTAGTGCAGGCTTAACAACTTTGTCTAGGTGAAATTATGGGGGTGGTTCAAATGTGACTTCAGATAATAAAAATTAGATATTTGATTTTCGAAATAGTTTAAAATGTTCTAATGCAGAAATAAAGTCATCAATTCATGGTGGTAATAAATTTAACTAAGCAAATAAATTAGTACGTTCCTTATGACATATTTATTACATTTGGAGGTCATGTACGCCATTAAAGTTTAAGTTGTCGCTCCTGTTAAAGCAGCTGTTAAAACATCCTGTATAAGGAGCACAAGTAATTAAATAACCCCGTACCTCGAAGTTAAATGTTTTTCATACCATAATCAGGTGTAGACATCGTAAACCTTTTTACTATGGATACGTTGTCACTTTGTTCTTATATAGCCCCTATTATGCATGTGTTAAAAAAATTCCAGCTTTCCTAACAATAGTTCAATCAAACTTATACACTGATTTTAGTTTGTTGATTTAAGTTACAAAACATCATAGTTTAACATGTCTGTCTGTCCTTACTAATATTATAAAGGCGAAAGTTTGTATGTATGGATGGATGTTTGTTACTCTTTCACGCAAATAATACTGAATGGATTTTAATGAAACTTTACAATAATTTAGCTTATAAGACATATATAGGCTATAATTTATATATATATATTTTAGGTATATCTGTCTTACTGTCTGAATGTTACGCCTTCATCCTATTCTACGCAGACGTAGTTGCGGGCAGCAGCTAGTTATATATAACCCTACGGGTGTTACAAATGTCAATAGGCGGCGATTATCACTTAATATCAGGTAAAATGCTAGCACGTTTAACACATTCTCACTTGAAAAAAATCCATATCTAAATTAGAAATGATGCAAATATTTAATAATAATCAGTATATTTATATTTTTTTATGTGCCTAATGTCAAACGAGCTGGCGGTTCACCTGATGTTAAGAGATAACCGTCGCCCATTGACACTTGCAACACCCTTACAGTTGCAGAAGCGTTGCCACCTTTAAATACGAGTAAACAGGGCCCCGGCTACCTCACTCACCAGAGGATACCCAGAAGTTTAACACTTCTACTTTACGCCGGTCTTCTGCGAGGTCGTGGTAATTACCCGGACGGACCTGCACATTCATGCAACAGTGAATTTGCAGGTTCGTCCATTGCGTGTTAATACCACAGTTAAATATCGCGTATTTGTGTCAAAATATTATAAATAAGTGAGTACACCAAGAACAGTGTGTATTAGTATACATAAAATATTACTTGGAACGATTAGATGTTTCGACATGTGTCTGACATCGTGTGTAGAGTTTGTGGGGACTCGGAATTTATCAGCTCATAGATATTTGGAGATCAGCATCCGAGTGTCATGAATAAAGTTACTCACCGTAGAAAATGACGGCAGCGGCCGCGGTGAACATGATCACACCCAGAATCGAGAAACCCAAGGAAGTCCTCCACCCGGCAGACTCGCCGAGCAGTCTCGCGATGATCAAAACACCCGTGATGATGATGTAGCCTGTTCACAAGACGGAATATTTACAAGCTGTTCATTCTTTTGATATTTGACATATACAGAGACTGGTAAAAGCATAGTCAAAGTAATTTTATTCAATACGGGAACATATTAAAAAAAAGATGACCATCGAATTCGGTGTCTCAAAATAAGTTTTCTTCCTCCAGGCTGTTGTTTATGGTTACATCGCAATTGTTGTCTAAAAGAAACAAGATTGCTGTCGATTTCGATCTCCTATCCAGTGAAGCTATTCAGCTAGTCTACGATAAAGGAAGTATGCTTAATCGTAAATGGCCGGTCGGGCTCTGTTTGCTTTCACATGCTTCGAAGAAACCGATTTTCCCGTAATTTATGTGGTGAAACTCACGTTAAAACGTCCCAACTTTAAGAAATTGGCCGTTGACTACGTAATGTGGCAATCAGATTCAGAAATGTAGTACAAATAATAAAAAATGTTATCGTTCTCCATCATTTAAAAAAATATCCTTTATTATTTATTGAGCGACGCTTCAAATTTTAAGACTACATTCCTATTTAATTTGAGTTTTCGAAAAATTAAAAGTGTGCAAAAAGCTGTTTTTACGTTTCTGTCTTGTTCGTGTTCATTTCAGTGGACAAATTTCATTGTTCATGGTATAAGATCATTGCAATGCATTTTTCATCAATCGCTATGTCATCTAGATGATACAACTAACAAAATGTTTCTAAACTGGCTGTATTAATTTACGACGTCAATGAACTATGAACTAATTGCAAACAAAAGACAGATTGGCCATTGTGTGGGATAGGACAGGAGATACGCTAAATTATAGTGTAATTAACAACAAACAAAAAACAACTATTTAAAAAAACAAAACAAAAAAGATCTAATTAGATGTCTAGTCACTAGATGTATCGTCAAAAATGTAACCTTCTTTTTAATTTTGTTTAAATGGTCGATTACTTTATTGCGACGTTTGATGGCAACTAATCGGCCGTGAACTGACAATCGAACAGCGACAACAAATTGACTGTGAATTGAAAGATTAGTACATAATCTGTTGTGACAATTGGGTCATGGTTTTCTCAGTTGCTTGGCACCAGATAGGCGTTTGCTGTTCATTCTATAAATGTCTTTTTAACAATTTTTAGACTATTTTTTTTGCTTAAAACTTTGCTAGTCCAGGGCCGCCAATTGGTGGCGGGAATCCCGGAACCACTCGTGGGTTTCGTTTCTAAAGGTAAAGTCTGATTGACCGTAATTTCCACACGAAACACTCCCGCAAACGTTATTCAAAGCTCTTGGAAAATTGATATTTTTGAATTGTTGATTCGGGTTCCTTGACTTTATTGTAAGATGTTACTGCGTCCAGTACTCGGGACTAGCTCATCTACATCGAACCCATGGCCGGCAGAGTCCATAATTTTTGAAGTTACTTCTTTAGACGCGTTAAGAAAAAATGATGAGAGTGTAAATACCAAAAGAGTAACTAACACCTTTGAAGCTGCCCGCTAAACCGCTTATTATAGATGACAGTTCTCAATAAAGAATGTCGATGGCGCTTTCATAATTTTATTATTTAAATCCTAACTATTTTAATCGTTCCGTTTTAATAAGTATATAACTTCTCACGCGCATACATAAGAACACGCACCATTTTTTTTTGAGTTATTTAGGATTTACTTACTCGAGTAAGTTGAGAAGATGAGTGCGATGTGCCGGTGGTCTGACTGGACCACTTGGGGCGAGTATAACGCGCCCACAATCAGCCCGATCGCGATGACTGACAGAGTCTGAAATAAAGAAACTGCTAATACACGAACTCGGGTGATTTGACTAGCTGTATTGAGAAAAATACGCTACGAATGTTGCAGATGGTGACCTCTTCATATTTCCGCCCGACTAAAACTTTTTTACGTGAGAAAGTGGTAAGCGAGCTGGCGGTTCACCTGATGTTAAGTGATAATCGCCGCCAGTAAACCTTTGCAACACCCAAGATGCGTTGCCACCTTTTAATAAAGTTGGCTCCGGTTGCCTCACTCACCAGACGAAACCCAGAAGTATTACACTCCCACTTCACGCCGGTCTTCTGTGAGGTCGTGGTATCTCCCCGGATGGACCTGCCCATTCGTGCAATAGCGTGCGTGGCCCTTCCACAGTTAAAACCGTGGCATTTGGAACCATTGTTAGGACTAAACTCAAACTGTACAATTGGAATAGGTAAGTTTTCCTTTTAAACGATTATCTGATCAAACCTATAGGCAGTTTGCGAGATAAAAAGTTACGCTACCGAAGTAATAGAATTTCTTAATATATGAGAATTCATCATAATAGTTCGTATATATCTGGTTATTTTATATTAATACTTTGCTACTCTGTTTCAATATAATTACTGTCTCGTAAAATGCGAGTTTTTATGCATTTTATATTTTAATGCAATTTTTTACTGCACAATGAATTATAATTATTTCTTTATTAAATTAATAAATATCTTCGAAAGAAACTTCGCGCACAGATTGCCTCAAACAAAACCATAAGGACAAAAAAGCTAAACGACGAGCATACCTTTTTTTCATTCAATTGTCACAGCTCTTCGAGCCACATTAAGACATTCTTTCTATCCATTGAGGGCGAAGTCTTGTCATAATAATACATCGCGGTTATGATCCAGTTATAATCGTCACTGTGCCCTACTACGATCGTGGAATAATATATGTAAATGTGTTAGTTCAATAATGATTTCATTGTATCAAGCATAACTTTCAAAACATCCGTTAGGCATCCATTGGAAAAGGTTGCTTCATTATTTTATTCCTCGCACATATGCATTACCCTCTACACACGAACTATGCGTCCTTTGGTTAGCTACAGGACCCGGGAAATACAGAATTTTCATTGTAAAATGTTATTCGAGTCAATTAAATAAAAATAATTCGATTAAAGTGGTCGTCTGCTGTAAAGGAAACATACTAGACGGCACAAGTATTGTTTAAAATCCAATATAAGAAGATAAATACGTTGATTCTCTTCGGTGTGAAGATATGCCATTTATCAGTGGCTGTCCATTTTTCTACACAGTTTAAATTGAACGTATTGTTCGTAGAAAACCAAATAGTCAATTCAATTCAATTCAAGGCAATTTTTAAAAACAAAGAATAGATTTCTTCGTAATATTTATTCAAACTGTCACGTAAGGTGAAACGAGGAAAATACTATATAAATTAACAAAAGGACAACATGATAATTCGCTGCCAACAAAAAATACGTATTACTGGCAGTTAAGAATAGACGATAAAAAATGCTTGATACAGAAATGTCTTTTTCATAACCGAACAAAAAGTCATATAAAAAATAAAAAAGTGCAGCAAATTGCTTAAGAGAAAGCCGTTGCCGTAAGTTATCTTGTCAAATACCAGTTTTCACCTTTCGAATATACCTTGGCACCTTCAAGTTTGCCTTTTCAATGCAGAGGCTTTACTTTCGCGTTTCGCTCGAACTCTTTTGGTTTATTTTGCGATATAACTATCGGTGATGGAACAATGTTCGACGTATTTTCGATTTTATTAAGATGCAACGATGCTTTGATGCATTAGGGTTTTGGGAAAATTTCATTGGCTTTCGCTTATGCACTGGATGTCCTGATGTCTGTTAGACCTTAAATTTTAAACGATACTTCTGTTCTCACCTGTAGCTGGTGATATTGCTATAAAATTTTGGTGCTCTTATTTACGCTCGAATTGTTACTCGATTGTTATTGATAGCGTGTTCTAACAATAGCGTGTTCGATTTAACTCGCCATCAAGTGTGGGGCGGATAATAACAGTCATCATGTACAATGTCCAGATACTGCGGGACGTCTAGATGTCCAGTAGTTTTAAAGATATGATTCCTCATTCAATGATTTGCAAGTTTATCTAGTGGTACTAGTGTTAAATTTTAAGTCTGTATGGTTTAAATAATAACATTTTTGATTTGACTAACATTATGAAAAGGACTTCATAAGAAACATGATAGTTGTGAAACTGTTTCCTAAAACTGGATCATAGAGACAGTGAGATTACAATGAGACTTAGAAAGATAGTTGACATATTTTAACGTGGTTTAACGAACGTTAGAATTCTCGTAGCGGTGAAACATTATACGACAGTTTTATCTACACATGACATTTGAGAATTCGTTATGAGGTACCGAATGAGGTATGATGCTTCTTGGGAACAAACACCCGTAACAATTATCCGTGGGTCGAAAAATCACTTGTTCCGCGTGAGAATCGAACCCATGAACTCGGTGCCGAAGCCAACGTATCAACTGCGCCGAGATTTTCTAGTAAAGAAACGTAAACGTGTGTGGCTAGTTTGTGTCTTTACGTGGGTTTCCGTCGCCCATGAATGTCTATAACGCCTGTGGGATTGCAGATGTGCTTCCGTTCCCTCATCAGGCGAGACCCAAAAGCATGACCGCCACATCACACTGGCCTTATGTAACGTCATGTTGCTTCCGCAGACGGGACACACTCCTGGCCCCACGATATATTGAAGTGTTAAGTGATTTACCGAAGTTATAGGCGTTAAGCGCTAAGTGATATACTTAAGTTATTAAAGTTATATGAATCGCTCACCATTTCTATGATGCGGAGCCCCACGCACCAGTTGCGCTTGAGGGCGGCGGCCGCACGGCTGTCCCTCTCATTGTCGGCGCCTTCTTCCCCCTTCTTGGCCTGAGCCTCTGCCTCTCTGTCTCCGGCAGACATCGCCCACACCACACGAGCTCCCCCGTAGTCTGACACCTGGAGTAAACCGATTCAGAGGTTAGAAACCCAAGGGCTTATGAGCGTGTAAAGCCAAAAATATGAGCGATAAAACCGATTCAGAGGTTAACAACCCTCGGGATGATGATTGCGTAGTATCTGGAAACATGAGTGATAATCTATTTTCAGATAAAAACCTTTTTCGATGTTAGTGTTGGAAAAAACAATGCATATGACTATGAACTTTCTTTTTGGCTTCATGGAGCTATCCCTTGGTATGTGGGTTTAGTTTTTAAACAAATAGATATCAAACCAAGAATACATTATTAAAGAATAATTAATTTAACGCGGCTGAACTACCTTGAACTTTTTAACTTCCGTTGATTACATTATCTTTCGTTTGTTGCGTAAAATTTTCTTCTTTCCCTATACAAATATGTTATTATATTAGTATTTAATATGACATTATGAACTAACTAATTCATTTTACACTTCACGAGTCTTCTATCAACGATTATCATTCAAGATTATTTTACAAGAGACTAGAAACTAACAAGCCCACCTGATGTTAAGTGATTACGGCTCTCAAGGTCATTGGGCATCGATCTCGGTCGGGTTTGTATTATTGCAGCTACTTTGCCAACCCAGCGACGGTGACGAAGGCATACTATGAATATTGTATGTACTACGAATAATGGTACTTTACTATTTGGTGGTGCTAAGCTATTGGCATTGCCGGGCTCGTGGGCTGATTCCCACTCGGGGCAGGTATTTGTGTGACCCACAGATATTTGTTTCGGACCTGGGTGTTTGTTTCCCAAGGAGGGTTGGTGTCAGGCTGGCCGTCGGTCGTAAAAATTATAGCCAAGATCATGATTCACAGCAAGAGGATGATGATGCTACTTTGAGCCGGTCTTCTGAGAGGCCCTGCCACTTTCCCGAGCTAGCCTACTAATTCTTGCAACAGATGCTACTCCATGGCCCTATTTCACTATGAAATGACCCCGTAAATACGGTTGATAATAGTCATGTTAGCTTGTAGTTCTTCCTAATCAGGAATCATCGCAAATTCTTCTACGTCTTTTTTAAAATATTTGATCTCTCATTCATACTGATCGTTCCAATGTTAGTTATACTACGGTTTACTCGTTTTTTTTTTCTTTATTGCCATATAATTGTGTTTAAAGCAAAATAGTATGTTTAAAATTAAACTATATTATATCGCGTTAAATTTCAATAGCCCTAAAATCCAATATTTCAGGTACTATGTACATTCATATTCAAGGTCGGGCATTCCACAGATGGTATTAAAATTTTAAATAGGTAACTTTAATTAACAATGCGTAAATAGAAACCATTTGTATGTTATTTATATTTACTCTTGGGTAAAATAGCCCTTGGAAGCTAAACGGTCTCCTTTGCTACAGTATTCCAATACGTGTCTGCTATAAGTCTCGCTTCAATTACTATTATGCAACTAATACAGACGATAAAAACAGGTTGCCTTGTGGTTGTTCCTCGATGTGCGTAATTGTTTCTGAATACGCCTCAGATGTGTATATAATAAAAGGTGTTTTTTAACGATGACATCTCACGTTTTGTACTATATTTCTAAATATTAACATTAAACAGAAGGTAGAACCCAAGTTTTTGACACGAATTATTGTTAATCTCTTTTTTGACTGATCTTCGTTACTTATGTTTATATTTTCTTGTATTTTTAAATTATTACCATCGATTAGTCATAACGAAAAATTTGAGATTTATGTTCTAATATATAAAATTCTCGTGTCACGGTGTTTGTAATTGAACGCCTCCGAAACGGCTCGACCGATTTTCGTGAACTTTTGTGTGCATATCGGCCAGGGTGGAGAATCGAACAACATCTATTTTACATCCCCCTAAATGTTAAGGGTGGTCCACCCGAAACAGTTTTTTCTACCCTACAAATAATTTATGCGGCAAAACAACGTTTGCCGGGTCAGCTAGTAAACTATACATATGTAATATCATGGATTGACGATGGAACTGCATTAACCGGAACCTTCGCTTATAAATGGTAGGGCGGCGCAACAGCTTTTCCTGTTGCACGAATGGGCACTGTATTAAAAGGTGGCAATTCATATGCAACAGCTGTTGCAAATGTCGATGGGCGGCGGTTATCACTTAACGTCAGGTGAAGCGTCAGCTCGCTCGCCACAATTTCACATAAAATAAATACGCGGACTCTTTAACTCTTTAATACCGTAGCTATTTACCAACAACTAATTCTAATTGGCGTGCACGGTGCAACGTACAAAACCAAACAGTTTCGTACGCGAGCTATCGTAACGGTTTTCGCTCATATATTATTGATGAGCTCTCGCTACGCCCGATGGCCGGTGGCGCGCGTAAATCAAACACGAAATTAGTCGATGCGAATTAAGCCCGTAACGAACGAAAGGCAACACAAATCGACGACGACGCGTGCCAACCGCCGGTGCGTAACCCACGCATGTCCACTTTCCAACCGGCGAAAAAAAGCAATTGTCCATGGTACCTAACACCGCTCAGATGATAAAAATATGCGAGAGTATCGAAGTCTCTGTTCTAAAAAAATGTCTATGGTACTTCACAACGCTCTGATGATAAAAAATATGCGATTCGAAAATCGAAGCCTCTGTTCTAGAGCCGATTGCAAATTGCGACATACGTCCTGTCATGGAATGTTTTGGCGGGAAAGCGATTATTTATTAAAGGTACATCACAATATCATACACTAGTGATATATAAAATCATGACAACACTGTTTTGCGGCTCTACCTGTTTAGTAGAGACTGAATAACACGAACTGAAAAGCGGTAACGCCCAATGGTTTTCGACTATTTTCATAACCAATAAAGACTTCTGCGGAATTTTTTTTTTCTAATTCGGAATGAATTATAATTTAACGTGCTTGTGTCAAGTAGTAGACAATCTAAATCTACTCTTAATATTATAAGTGTGCTACAGACTAGTCACATAGTTTTGTTATTTATTAAATACTAGCTCCTGCCCGCGACTACGTCTGCGTAGAATAGGCTGAAGCCATAACATTCACACAGAAAGACAGATATACATAAAATATGTGTATAAATTATAGCCTATGTCTTATTCTGATGTATAAACTATGTTATTGTAAAGTTTCATTAAAATCCATTCAGTAGTATTTGCGTGTAAGAGTAACAAACATCCATCCATACATAGAAATTTTCGGCTTTATAATATTTCTTTGATTTGACATTAGTTCCATAATACTTGCGTCAAAATTCTATCTCCAGTAATCAAATCTATCGGCAGATAAAATATTGAAACTGGCCGTAAATGAATTCCGCAGCTTCATTTTTTCGCCAAAAAGGACATGGTAATTAGATGATTCCGTGGCGCGGGTGCCAAGGTATTGGCTTCCTAAAGTATCCTAAAGTAAGGGCAATGTTTTATCAAAAAATAAATAAATAACTAATTAAAAAATAATATTTCCTAAGTTGAGTTAAAGATAATATTTCTAATTGCTCAAGTATGAAGACTATCGCGCGCTAAAAATTGTTTTAGCGATAATTTTAAAAGTTTGAATCTATAAAATAATTTGCGCATTTCGTATAAACAAGTAAAAAAAATAACCTTACCAAAAAACTAAAACTCCTTCTAACTTAATATCCCACTACGAATTCACTGTTGAATTTCTTTTATGTATTTTTTTAAAAAAAACACACTTTTATATTTCAAATTAAGAACGCGTATAGCGTGTGATTTTCGCAAATTTATGAACGCAACCACTCTCAGCTGGGGACGCGGAGTGACTACGGCTTTGGCGTGTTCGGTCCGCCAAGACGACTCATCGAACAAGACAATGCGATCCCTATCGTATTCTACATCCTCCCTTTTAACACCGTATTGCTTAGAAACGAGGGCGCCGTGGAGTATCACCGGCAATCGGTCGGGAAAACCGAGTAATTATGTGTTCAGGTGGTTCATTCTAGAATGAGCTCGAATACATTAAAACTGAAAGCTCTAGAAGTGGCCATGACGATGCCTTTAAGTCGTCACGGGATTGTTCTTTTTTCAAATTATTTTCGAACGTATAATCTAAATAGCTACCAAAAGTACGTGTTGTAAATGTTTTTCACATAGGATTACACGCTGTCCAAGCGTTCCATTATGTTTAATTCTACGTGTAGACTAAAATACTTAATTTTTTCAATTTATGTACAAAATTAGCTATTTCTACAATAACAAACTCCAATGTCATAATAAATTATAAAAGAAATGTATGATTTAATGATTCAAGTATGTATATACTAATTAATGGAAAACATCAATTCTGTAAAAATTATTAAGGTAATGTATAAAACAATAAGTTTTAAATGTAATGTTTTTGCTTAAAAAAATCTATGGGATTTTTATAAATATTAAGTTTTCTATGATTACAAGAGGTTCAAATTTACGAACCATAAAATTTAGTTTAAGAAAAAAATATAGTTTTTTTTAAAACGTAGCTATTCATTTAAAAGTTAAGTATTACGAAGTTTTAGTGTAATGTTTTGGCAAAATAATCCATATGATTTTTTTAAATATTAAGTTTTCTGTGATTACAAGGGGGGTCCAATTTAAAACTATATCTTTTTGTTCAACGACCCCAAACATTTAGTTTGGATAAAAAAAAGCATCGATTGTTTATTATGTAGCTATTCGAAAATTGAAAAGTCACTTTCTAGCGTTTTCCGGTCTAAAAGTCAGCGCGCGCATAACTGCATTAATACAAACGGGCGAGCGGGCACGCACGATCGAGGCGTGCGCTTTTCGCGGAACCGCCGTTTGAAAAGTATGCGCGGTATTTGGATAATTTTGTAATTATCCGGCCCAATATAGATTTTTGTTTGTCAACCGACTTCGGAAAAGGAGTGTGTGTTTCTTTTTGAAACGATTTCGGAAATTCTTTTTGCGTTGTTTTCGCATGTGGTCCCATATTAATTTCATTGGTATTGGACCTTAAACGCGGAGGTACATCAGGGAACTCCTTAAATTCAAATAGAAAATGTATAGTGAGGAGATATCTGACGTCCGTTTTTTGTTAATAAAAAGATAATCGTGTTTTAAAAAGTGACTCCCGTACTATCGATTCACTTTGTACCAAAAGTTTAATGAAATAATGCAGCGGGATTAAAGTAACACTCGAAATAATGGGTCACAGTCATTTTCGTCGAAAGTAGGCACCGACCCCACCACACGGTGCACAATGCAAGTTGAGGAGATGACCATTAAACTAATATGCAATTGTTCAAGGTTTAAATAATCTAAAAGATGATGTTAGTTTTCTTTGCCACTCACAGGACATTAGGATGCCAAATACCTCAGGTCCCGTGAACGCAAATGCTGAGCTGGTCAAATCTTAAGATGTAACTCAAACGATAAAATTTAAGTAGCTTTATGTAAAATTATATTGTCTGTATAAAAATAATATAATATAAAATATTCCCGTTTTAAATACTTCACAACTCTATTTACACTTTGACGCCTTTGCACAATGTTCTTATAAAATGAAGCCTACTTTCCGCAATAAAACTAGATAAATATACCATTCGTTGATATCATTTATGGTGCTAGTAGGATAAAATCACTAGTAAATGATGTTGACGAAAAATATTTCTTATATAGGTATTACAGAAATTTCGATTGGCGTAGTGGAGAGTGTACCTATCTTTTGCGCCAAAGGTAGTGGGTTCGATCCACAATAATGGAAATTATTTTATGCTGAAGCTGGCTGAGCATAATGTTTTTCCAGTGACTGGGTGTCTATATATCTATAATACGTTCTCTTTACAAAAGAAAAATATGTTTAAGTACGTTCTTCAGTTA